TGAACCTGTTGGAAAAGCCCTGCAGCCCAGCGCAGCCTGTTTTGTTTTCTCCTGATGACGAGCACAACCTGAGCAGCCTGGAATGCATTTCTCCATTGAAATACTTCTCTGTGGTTTCAGCAATAAGCACTTATTATTAGGGAAAAATAAACCGTGGATACCAAGAAACATGTACTATTTGTTACAAGTGACAGGAGTTACAGAAACCACACGCACAGGAGAATTCTCATTAGAGAAACGCTATCATCTTCTGCTCCAGTTCCCCGCGGTCACATTAGGGATAATTTTTACATGCACGCCTACTTTATCAATATCATTTAAAGCACAGAACTAACTCGCCTGCCTGCCTATATTTTCAGGCCTGAATCACAGCGCAAAGCCACACAGAACAGCAAACATCCAAGCAAAGTGCAAGAGCCCTGCTGAGAACAGCTCAGCTCCCTCATCCAAACACTGCCTGAATCAGACAGTGCTCATAAATTCCATACAGCTGATTTCTACTGCTCTTGTTTCAAAGAGATGCAAGAATAAATTACTAGGAAACATTTGCATATTCATCTGAACTTAAAACATCGTGTCAGGCTTCGGCTGAGCTCACACTTAAACGGCAAAAGGTTAAGGAAATAATTATCATGCACCAATTAGCAGAAAACAGGAACAAAAATCAGGAAAGCTCTCTACACGTGTAGCTATTATAAGTACACGTAAGCATCCAATGCTGCACACCTTCAACAAATAATTCCTCAAATCAAACTGATACTTGCAAAAGCAAACAGCTCAATGTCCAAAGAGAGGCACTGCTGCAGCCCACTGCTACAAGAAAGACCGCAGTGAGATGATGGAACGTGTCAGCACAGATCAGTGTTTTCCCTCTCCTGTTTGGACAACTGCAACACCTAAAAAAGCAAGAAGGAAAGGTGGCCCCTGAATGACTGCCTCAGCTACAGCCAGCACTGATACAAAAGAAAAGAAATAGTCTGCTCAGGTAACTAAGATTCATGTTGAACACAAATATATACCATGCTTGGATTGACCATTCATAGCCTAGGATAAAATATTTTCTTTTAATTCATTCTTTCCTCTCAGTGTTTTAGTTGCAACATATTTGAGGATTGGGGATCTGATAAATGTTTATAGATATCTAAAGGGAGGTGGGAGGCAAATGGATGAGGCTCTCTCCTCCTTGATGCTGTGTGGCAATAGGATGAGGAGTAACGGCCTAAAACTTGAACATAGGAAGTTCTGTGCTAACATGCAGAAGTACTTCTTTATGCTAAGGGTGATGGAGCACTGGAACAGACAGCCCAGAGAGGCTGTGGAGTCTCCTTCTATGGAGATATTCAAGACCCATCTGGACACTGAACTGAGCGACCTGCTCTAGAGAGCTGCTTTGGCAGGGGGGTTGGACTTGATGGCTTCTGGAGGTCCCTACCAACCTCTGCAGTTCTGTGATTCTGTGAGTCCACCACGAGCTGAAGATGCCAACAAAATCTCTGTACGAGCTTTTAGCTCCTATCAGTAAAAAGTATGTAGCTGAAGACCCACAACTCAAATTTAAATTGTTGGTAATGCTTCCAAAATATTATTTCGCTATACAAATGGCCACTTATCTCCATGCTGTAAACAAGCTTTTTTCCTCCTCTAGATATTAAGCCACCAACTGCAAACACAAACACTAAGCATCAGGCAAGGAGCTCTTCTTTAACAGCAGTGACAAAGGGGTAGGACCCAGCTCCCTGCAGGGCCCCTGCCCTGCCAGCACCACCAGAAGCAGTGCCAGATGGGCACAGAAACACTTCTCCTACCTCCAGGTCAAGATTTGGCTCTTCAGGACAGCCCTGTGCAAGCAGCTCTCCACAAAAACCCTCTTGGTTTTGTCTCCTCAAAGCCTAAACCTGCAGCCAGATCAGCAAAGCAACCCTAAATCCTTGTATAATTCAGGCAGTTTTCTTTTCATTAAACTTTTTACTTCTCAAGGCCTTGCATGCATCAATAAAAAAAGAGGGGCAGTTTAAATGCAAATTATTAAGTAACTGAAGAGCTGAGTAACAGTCAGGAACAGCTCATCAGCTTCCACAAGGACATAAATATTTGAATAGATGAAGAGTAATTCTTCCCAAGAACATAAGACTCTGGCCATTCATTCTTCCCCACGCAATGTCAGCCTGAAGGCTTCTCCCTTCACAGATACGTTGGGAAGAAACAGAAAATAACAACAAAAAAAAATCAGTGTAGCCAATCCAAAGGGAAAAAGTTGTAACCATTTCATAAAAACACTGCAGTGGAAGTTCTGCTCCATGTCGATAAACTATTAAGAAGCATTAAAAGGAAAAACAGGAATATTCAAATCCGAGAATTAAGTACCTACCTCTTTTAAGGTGAAGCATCTTAATTTTCTGTGTAGGTCTTTTCAACTTCTTATCTCTCCAAACAGACTTATTTCACCTACACTTACCTAGCTTTGTCAAAGAATGTTGAAAAATATATAACTAATAGCCTGAAAGCGATAAAGCTGGATCTGCTGATCTGAACTGAAGAACATTCCCAGCCAACAACTCACCTGCTATCTACATTAGTTTTCTGTGTGACTTCAGCACATGGAATTCCAGTTGCAACCCCACTGTCTGGCCAGCACAGCACTCATATTCCAGCTGCAGCCATGGGAGATCCCACCTCACCTCTTGGCTGCTTCAGCGTCCTGCTGCATCACACCTGTCCTTCACAGCCACTCATGGCCCAGAGCTATGGACCAGAACAGCAGCCAGCACTCAGTGTGTGCATCCAGCAGGATATCTGACAGCCAGAAGGCAGACTTCACCCTCAGCCTTTCTGGTTGACACCCCCTGGCCACCACATTCCAAACTGATGGCCCCATCGAGCTGCCAGCTACACCAAGCTGCCCCTCCTGCACTGCAGCTGCCAGCACCAAGCAGAACATCCCACAAGCATTAATGCACTCTTCTGAGATGCACTGCTGTACATCTGTCTACTCTTGAAGCTCACCTTGGTGCCTCTCAGTTCCACGAGGTCCTCATGATGTTCCTCACTGCTGGCACAGTACCTAGGCTCTCCAGCCCAGGTTACTGATAGCAATGCAGAACGAAGCCTATAATAGCATGCCTGCTTTCCATGGTTACTGACATCCTCCCAGAGCTCCAACATGTTTGTCCTGCAGCAGTTTGCTTTGCAGAAGCCACACTCACTCCCTTTCAAAAACACCACCCAACAAAGCAATCCCATTGTACACCTATCCTTTGTAATGGAAACACAAAGTTCTAGCAGCTGAAAGAATTGCAGCGCTTCAGTGGATACTCAAACATAATAAGAACAATCTCGCAAAGCTGCAAAAGTCAATACTAACAATTACATATTCTAAGAGCTAGGTAATTAGAGTCCCAAGGAGATGAAAGCAATGAACGAATAATAAGTGAAAGGCTGTGGAGGCTGCTGAAAGGCACCCACAAGTACTCTTCTCGCTCAGCCTTGCACTGATCTGAGGCTGCCTCATCCTCCTGCATGCTTACACCATCAGCTGCAGAGTGGGTGCACTCTGCCCAACTCTGCAGAAACCTGGGTGTGGAGCACAGACTGCAACAGACACTGATACAGTGTGATTTCTGTCCCCTATGCTAGGAAATCTGCCGTCCTTTCCCCCCAGGTGAACACAACGAAGTTGATTTGGGGAGCACCTTTGGATTTAATATTTTTCTTCAATGTATAACAATGTCAGAAGAATAATTTTAAAAGCCCATGTTCATTTGCATTCTGAAGCAGCCCTCACAAATGAGTCTCAGGAAATAAATCTTATATTCGATCCTCATAACCTGCAAACATCCTATCTGTAGCACACGCAGTTCGCGACTCAAACTTAGCGATTTCCATCCAAGGTAAAATGCTCTAAAAGAGAATGGAAAGGCATCTAACTCAAATAGCATCATATCCCTATTTTGTTATCAGATGTTAGTCTGAGTTCTCACTTGCAAACCAAAATATTCCAACTCATAGGCCTTAATTCCCACTGTCTGTTTTTGCCATGTGCTCTGCATAATGTCATGAGCCTGAGACCAGCTATTAAGGACCAAGTATTGAACCAAGTGTTTTCCCACTCCACACTTCACAGCTTCCACTTGCACAGGCACTGTGCTTTGCCACTGTTTTCTTTGCCTCCTGGCTGCTTTATAAAATTCTTCAAATATACAGCAACTACACACCTGATCGGGAAAAGTCACATTATTTCCACATTCAACCTCAGTTCTTAGCTCCTTTCTGATCATCTTCTAACCGATTCAGCACAGGTGGGTCAAGAGGTGCATCCTTTTATATCTTCTGTCAGGACTCACAAGGAGAACATCAAGGTGCAGCTCATCAAACGTGTTTACTACAGTTGCTAAACTTATCCAAAGCGAAAGAAATTCAACTGAAAGAATGTGAGACCAGTTTTGACACACTGACCTCTGACTGCTTTAAATTACAGGGCTGGAGGATTTGCCTATTAATGGTTCTGCAATATTAATAGCCTTTCCACTAAAGGTTGGAGACCACATTCACAATTCCAGAAACCAGCCAACTCTACCAGAAGTAGGCACCATATTAAAGGAAAAAGGTGGAACTGGAGGCAGAGTTTGCAGTCTGACTCGCTCCTGATTTGCCACACAGAAGTATGCACCGGGGCTTCAGATAATATGCTCCTGAACAGCCTAGGGTGTAAATAAGTGCATAAGGATACGACATCAGTATCTGAACAACAAGGACTTAAAAACACCTTAAAGATAAGGTTATTCATTATTAACTGATTCGATTTGAAAGTGATGTATTTGCAGCAAGATAAGAAAACTTGTCTGAAACGCATTCTTCATGCAGTCACAAACACTTCATTAGAAACACTAAGCATTAATTAAGTTAGAAGTAAATAGGTTTTTGGGCACAATTACAACAAACACTTTATAAACTGCCTAATTACAGCTGAGGACACAGAAGATGGAGAGCTGTATCCCACATACCTTCACTATGACTGTCTGATCAGAGATGCTGCTCATCATCTCGTTGATGGACTTGAAGAGCTGCAGCAAAGACTCCCTGAAGTCTGCTTCTCCTTTGTTCTCATAAAGCCTGAAAAACAATTGGGTATGTCATAAACAAAAAATGGAAATGCGTGGAAATCTGTTCCAGGGACCGGTAAGTCCCTACATCCCTTTATTTTCATTTACTTGAATTCTCAAATGTTTACACATCATTACACTGCACCAAGAGATTTCCTTCACAGGAAGCTAAAGAAGAAGCAACCAGACTGGGCCAGCAGCAGCAGCAGATTATTTGTGCCTCCAAATCACTGTGAACCCCTTCATGGCAACCCAATTCCACACGCACAGGCAGCAGTTGGGCTGCGCTCTCCCCTGCCACACCAGGACTAGCAGATGTCTGTGAGGACCAGTGCCAAGAAGCTCTGTGATGTGGAAGCCAGGAAGCATCCCAAAAACTTGCCAGCAATCATTAAAATCTACCAGTGGCCCAAGGTAAGCGACCTTAAACTCCGTGAAGGAAAGGAAAACACATCAACCCTTTCTTTCCTCAACACTCTTGTTCATGAGAGGACTACATTTAAAATCTATTTCGCTGCTGATTTCTGGATAGCTGACAAAACTAGTCCTGTTTCCAACACAGTCAATACGGCTGCCTCAGAGGAATGACTAAAAGTTTGCAAGGTGCCTTCAGACAGGATTTCCAGAGCTGATCAGAGCCCACAGCAACTCTTCTGCACAACTGAACTGAAGAACCTCATCCTCTGGTGAACTCTGGTTCAGTACAGCATTGGAACATGTATCTTCGGAACTCCTTGGAGTGTTCTCTCCCTGCTCACTCCATGTATGCCCATGCACCTCTGCTTGCCTCCAATTCCATCAGCTGCCAGCTCTTAAAGCTGCCTGCAGTCACACAAGCTCTGTCCCTGAGCTCATTTTGCACCAAGACTCACTAGAGCAGCATTCACCAACACCTCCCCTTCCCTTTGTTTCCTTGTTTAATTCTGCAAAACCCAGCAAGAAAGGAGCCCTGGGCATGGTGTGCAGCTCAGAAGGAGCACCACAGCCAGGCACTTTCTCTGTACAGTCTGAGGATGATTTCTTCACTCTTGAAGGTAAGCAAGCTATACTAAGAGTTCATTATGAACTTCTCCTATTAGAAAAGGAGGAGTGGCATATCTTTTTAAAATACACATGGAAATTGAGGTGTTCTTGCTGCTTTGCCCTGAAACTAATGCATATCATTTTTAATACTGTGTTCATAAGCCTTTGGGAGCCACAGGAACTATTAAGTGCTATGTAACAAACGCACAGGAAATACAAATACTACAGAAAAATTATTAAGTTGTGCTATTTTCTTGTGCAAGCTTTTATTCCCCTTTCAGGTTAAAACTGGGGGCTATGCAGGACAAATTACGTGTTAATCCCAGTTCAAATTATGGATTCCAGTGTCCCCCTGAACACATTAGAGAGGTGTAGCACATACTAATATAAGGAGTAACCAAACTTGACAGTCCAATAAATCAAACCGCTTCAGACAAAAAGCTTTGCATTTCAGAGTGGAAAGCATAATAAAAACAAACAAGTCAGAGTCTCAAATATGTTTCTATTGCCAGCTATTTAACATACCTCTCCTTAATACACCTGGTAATACACAGAAGCGTAGCAGCTATGAGAAGAACAGTATGACAGCATGGCAGCACTTCCACCACTGCCTTCAAAGTTTAAAGACTTTTCTACACTGAATATTACCACTGGAATCAGTACTGAGTAACTCAAATCATGATTTTTCTGAAGATTACCCAATCTTTTGCCCTTACAGCATTGATATACAGCACACCAGGACTTGCCATGCTTTAGTTAGATGAACCAAGCTTGTACGCATTACTCAGCCCTGAAGCTTGTCTGATACTACATTCCCCAAATGCTATTTATATTGTCTATCATATTACTAAAAGTTAAAAATATGCTTTTTCCAATAAAAGATCCTGCTTCCTTGCTGAAATTTCTCAATAAAATCCTACACTTCAACATTATCATGATTTCAATTGCACATCTCAGGCAGGATTTCAGTCCTACAGCAGAACAAACTGCGGCGTCATTCAGCATTCAGAAGCTTTTCCAATTAATCCCCAGTCACTGAGAATTACAGCTCCGCAATGCTGAAGCACACTGAATTACTACTTAGCATGAGAAAACCCAACGGCCACTACTGAAGGGTCATGCTGCCTCTAAATCCAATCTCCAGCAAGATTTATTTTTTTTCCCCCCCCATTTTAAAATGATTTGTAGGTCCTGCAACAGTATAAATGACATTCAGTATTTTAATGGATATCACAGCAAGAATCCTAAATGAGTCAATTGCACTTCTGTCATTCACAGACAGGTTGATGGAGCCTGTGACTTCACAGCTCTACATAAATCCCTTGCAACAAGTTTGTTTCAGTCCTTTCACTCTTTCTCACAGACTGCGTCTTAATTAAGATGAACACAACGAATTGCTGGTAGCACTTTCCATATTTTGGGTAGAAAACAGAACACTGATGTCAAAATTAACTTAAAATAATTATTTGTAACTTGACTTCATGGACAGACAGCACCGCTGAGCAGTGGCGCACGTCAGTGCTTGTGAGGGAATCCAAGTGATCCTTTCTGGACAATCCCACCCGTTGGAAGGCCAGGGATTTCCCACAACCACCACACTTACTGATTGAACAGTATCCTGGACCGGACTATGAACTTGAAGATGTACTCCAAAGCTTTCATGGCTTTGAAGAGTTGGTCAGTGATACCACATTTCTCAGCATTATCCACGTACGTTTTTAACACTTTAGTCAGCTTGCTGTTTCAAAAGAGAAATACAGAGATGTTATAAGCATGTTCACAGCAAAGAATTTCAATGCTGAGAGACTGAAAGAAAAATTGTGTTTCACGTAGAGCCCCCCACGGTACAAAATTAATTATGCAACTAATAAATAGACATTATGAACTTGCTTGTGCTGATTAAGCAGCTGCAACCTGTTCTTGGGTGAAAACACAGACTCAATACACTCAATACACGAGCAGTTGAGAATGTCTTAATAAGATTCCTGTTACTCTGGATATTCAAGGATGCTCCAGTTAATAGGCCAATACAAGGGCACAACTACCACTAATACTAAAAAAAAATTAAAATAAAATAAACACACTTTGTTAAAATTGAAGCACTCAAAATGGGAGTGTCTTGCTTCATTAAGGTCTTCCTTTATGTAGCTTTGCCTGCTGATTTTGGACTAGAATTTGTGAAATGTACTGCTTAAAAATTCATAAGACAGCAGCTAAGAATGTGGAATAATGGAATTTCCAAGTGTGTCAAATTTGGAAGTAACACAATTTTAAAAATAGCACCATTCTGACTACCTCATTTTGAATGAATATAAACCACTTACATAAATGCAACTACAAGCAATTCTGTATTAAAATATCCTAGCTACAGCGCATGCTTCAACGTGCACATTAAAAATAAGTACAACCATTGAATCACAGAATGGCCTGGGTTGAAAAGGACCATAATGACCATCTAGTTTCAATGCCCTGCAATGGGGCAGGGTCGCCGATCACCAGACCTGGCTGCCCAGAGCCACTACACACAAACACTACATACCACTACAGACAATGCTGTAGAGATAGACATCTTGATATACATGCATTTCTTTTAATAGGAATTAACCATTTGAGAATTTCAGTAGCCACCTGGATATTCTTCATGCAACCTCTCGTAACGTAGCCTGGTGCAATAAAAACAGAGAGGCAGCAGGGATCTGTCACAAATCAAGCCAACATTGTTAGGTCTTCCCAACACCCAAAACTGAAACCTGCTTCTACATCTCTCCATTTAAAGGAGGGATAGATGCTTTCCCTGCCCTACCAGCAGAAAGGCCATCTCCAGCTCCCGCAACAAAGGCGGGTGCTGCAGGAGGCTCCATCCTTTGTGTGCATCCACCAAGGCAGCAGAAGTGGCAGCAGCTCAGCACAGTGAATGGAACATCAAAGCTGCGACTAAAGGCATAACTTCTTCACTATTTTAAATCAATGCTCCTCAAACCTTTTCTGCTCACGTAACAGAGACTGTAAAACAGCAAAGCATACAGCAGGTTTGCTCGGCTGAATTTTTTTCCTCCTAACACCAAGAAGATATCCATTACGTATTCTTCTCCTACAAAAACAGTCTGAAGCAGCAACAGTGGACCTAACGGCCAAGAAATACCTAAGACAGCAAAACGTAATGGATCTTTGTTTCCTCTTCACTACTTCCTCCCCAAAATGACAGTAATACAGATTATATAGGAGATGATGCCAATTTAATCCACCAAACAACACATATTTGAAGAATCTTAAATAGATACTATTTCCTTTTCAAGCTTGACTGAGAAATGTTTACAAATATTTTCCTTACAAAACAGCTTCTGAAATAGTCAATTATCCCCTCTTTCAATACAACAAAGTCGAGACTTTCTCCTTGCAAATACTTTATTGCTGCTGTTTTACAAGGGGAAGACATAATATATTCAGTCTTCCACACATCACATTCTATGGGCAAATTCCTAATTAAACAAATAACTAAACAACATCATCTGGCAAAAAAAAAAAAAAAAAAAAAAAAAAAAAAAGTACAATCCATATCACATCCCCAATTCAAAGAAGAAGTTTTGAAGACTTACGTGTAGGCCAATGTAGCACTGAAATGCTTCTTAATGTATGTTTCCAGTACGGGATTAAAATGTTGAAATTTTCTGTCGGCAATCAGTCCAATGATAAAAACCTGAACAATGAGAATAATTATTGCAGCGCACACAAAATTAATCCTGGACATTCGACCACTGTTTCAGACCACTGTAGTAACATTAAAAACAAAGAAAGGCTTTGACTTTTGATTATCCTCCCCATATACAAATATTTTTCCTTCCTGTGAGCGGTCCCTGCTCCAAACAAAGCTTTCTGACCCAGCCCTAACTTCTGCTGCTCATCCAACTCCAACACCTGGATCCTCTCTGGGAAGACAACACGATGCCATGGCACCATACCTTTCATTCATACCCAACTGAAATTTCAAAGACAACAAAAAGTTTCCATGCATTTTTAACCAAAAATACTAACTAGTCCAAAGCTAATAATGACTGCATCAATAGAAAACTGCATTCTAATATTCACATCATGATCACTTTCTTATTCATAATTACAGTATCTACATTTTAGTCTATGCAGGATGCAAACTTACCAAAGCATCAAACACCAACGTGTCAAATGTCTCACTCTCTGAGTTCTCCATCATTATGTTAAAAAGTGCATCCAGAGTGTCTTGGAGGAACTATGAACAAATACAGAAGCCACCACATTTAAGAGGAAAAATAAAAAACAGGTTTCACATAGGTTTATGCAGCTTTCATTTAATGCAAGATTTTTTTTGAAAGTTAGCTGAGAAAGGGAAAATTTAACATTGTTTTTCTGCAAATTCTTTTTAGTTCATTACGTAAATCCATATCACTCAAAAATAGGGAAAAAAATCGTATTTGGTACTTGAAGAAAACATTTAATCGATTCATAGTAGACGAACAAAATATATTCCAAAACTCAGTACCAACATACAGCCAACAGGGTCATGCATTTTCTGAAGACTGATATTTCACAGCACAAACCAGACAAGCAACTCAGGCTCATGCCAAACCAGTCACCCTGAGCAGTTTGAGCTGAGCAGTATGAGAAGTGCACAGCGTACGGCTTTTCACAGCTGCACAATTCCAAATGACAGCATACATGCAGGCGTGGGACACAGAGCACACAACCTCCTGCCCCAGCCCAAAACCTACAGGTCTATCCCTGTACACAGGAAGTCTTCACTAGCCAGCTGGCTGGACACCCTGATCTGTGCAACACGAAAGTAAAAGCAGATTAGTGTCAGGGGATACAAGTTGAACAGTGATAAAAGCTGTTTTACACATATTTAATTACAGCACTGCATCCCACTGACAGCAAGCACCACATTGGTAAGCCAGAGATAAATACAACCAGGTGTATCAGCACAGGTTTCTGCATCTGCTCATCCTCTCCCATCAGATGACAAAAGCAACGTGAGGTTCTCCAAGGTAGAATTCTCCAGCCCAACATTTGTTTTGGTTGAGAGAGAAGAGGCTTAACCTAACTAAGACTGTTCTTGCAAATTTGTCTCAAAGAAAAATGTTTGTTTGTTTTTTTTTAATCTGGTAGACAAAGTACAGCAGGGGAGGAAAACATAAGCAAACACTGTGCCACTGCTGCCTGAGATTATAACCCCAAGCAGATACTACATGCCTTGTGAGAGCAATGGAAAAACACCTCAACTCCCACCATCCTCCCTTCAGGGCTTCTGTGTGTGCAAGAGTTTCCTGGTCCGCAAGTGATTCACTTGGACTACCTGCTGAATCCAGAGGTAAGTCTCAGGATCTAATGTCAACCTAGAAGCTTCCTACATACAAATGAATATCCAAAATATCAGCATTTAAGCACCAGCAGCTCAAGGAGAAACTATAGCATTGTTAGAAGAAGTGTGCCTTGGTTTTAAGAGTGCTGTCAGGCCCAAAGCACTGCCTGCTTGGGTCTTAAGTCTCCAAAACAAAGGACGATCAGAAGCCTGAGCCACAACCTTGGTTTCACACTGAGGCATCCTACATGGCACGACATTGGTACAAGTTTTACATCCCTGTACAAGGACTTCACATAGCAGCACGAGGGATGCAGAATCAGTGCTGCTGCTATCAACAAGAAAACAATTTTCAGGCAGGGAGACAGCCTACACAAAGACTTTTTGAACCTAACTGTAACAAATACAGCAAATAACTGGTCTACAAAATAATGAAAAAGGTGTAAAGAGCAGCAGAAAGCACTTGCTCTTCCATCCTACATCTAAATCAAGTTGTGCCCCAATTCCCACATACAAAGAAGGCATGGCTAAGGCTTTGTACAATTCCTACAGCAGTGCAGGGAGATGGAGTGCCAGAAAACTAACGTTGCTGTTACTGGAACCTCATTTGCACAGCGTTCTGATGCTTCTAAAATCACCAGTCTCCATCAGGCACTGATCTGCTGTGCGCTCGCTGATGTTGTTTGGAGAAGAATGAAAATTACCAATGACAGCACTGTGACAACACTCGTCAGAACCAAGTGCCAGGGTCAAGTTTTGAGCCGTCCAATGATCCGTAATGAAACAGCAGTAAGGAAAACCTTCCCAAAAAACCAGATCGGATCTGAAATCCTATTCTCACCATGCTTGATAAAGAACAGTATCAGCAGCCTCACGTATTTTAAAGTCACTTTAAGACACCCATTCTTCAATATTTCTATTAAAAGCATTAAAATCCAAATGAAGCTAAAACACTCCAGGCCCTTAAGGGTCATCTGTCCCAGTACAGTACATCTTCTGACACTTTATTATATTCAATTTAATGGAACACATTCAATAAACTCTCAGCCTACTCTTTTCCATAAATAAATCTGTCTTTATGTAGCTCTGTGCAATCACTCAGTGGCCTTGGCAAATGTAAATATCTTGGCTTAGCTCAGTATTTTCAGGGAAAGAACTTCACATCCATGTATTAAAAATATATAAATAACACACTGTGATTATTCTAAGATCTTGCAAAGAAAAACAACCTTTGCCTTACTGTGTCCATAAATAAAAGTCACAGGAATAACTAGAGAACGCCATCAAAAATTTCTTCATTAATGTAAATTTGCAAGTTATGTCCGTTTTTACCAGCACTTAACATCTGAAATGTTCTTAGAGGGAAAGAAGATTGGCATCCTGAAGGCTAAGAGACACCCGGCTATGATTTAATGTGCACATACATGTGGTAGGGTTAGGCAAAGAAAAAAAGATAAAACTTTTTTAAAATGAGCATTTGTGAAATTAACTTGTTACCTTAACAACTTCACCACCATCAACTTTCATCAACTGCTTCAAATTCTGCTGCAGCAGGTTCGTATTAGATCTCCATTTCAGAAGTCCCAAGAGATCAACTAGAGATTAAAAAAAAAATTCTATTATTATGTCATGTGGGATATTTACATTCACACACACTGTAACTGTGTTCAGAACAAACAGGTTTAATGCCACAGGTCAGCCACTTTCACTGGACAATAACACGTGTCTAACATACCTCTGACACTGCAGAAATCTAGTAGACTATCTTTGTCCTGAAATAATTGTGAAAGGCTTTAAATAAAAGCAGAATGATTTTGAAATGTCAGTGAAATCTGGGCCAAGGAAGCCCGATCCCTCATTTCGCATTTGCTGTATACAACAGTTGTGTGTTTAAAAAAAGATGCCAACATATAATTAGTCATCCACCAACACAGCGATATCCACGGGGCTGTGATTCTTCCAGTGTGAACATTTCTAGCTTCTCTGCTCTCTCTAAATACCATGAAAGCAAAATATGACAGCACAAGCCAAACAGTAGCAAACTAAGTTAATTCAGGGGGAAAGCTGTCTGCTTAGTAACTCATAACATCCAAACTAGTCGGCTGCTTTCCAGTGATGGACTGCGGCACGGGTTGGACCATGGGAAGAATCAACTGCAAGCAGCCCGGTCCTCAAATTCTACATCCCACTGTTAAGATGGTGTCAGTCCATCTTTTGCTGATAACCAGAAAACACAGCAGGCGTGCTCTCTTTTACTAGTTCTGAAGAACCACAGCACCATTTTTCAGTGAGACAACTCAATCACGTTCCATCTACAAACAGCACGCTGTTAACTAACACACTGCAGCACCAGTAAGCCGTACCCACTTCTGCTTTCTTTGTTTTCTTTAAGATGCAACACGGAGCTGCAAACAAATCCAGAAGTCCAAGCTCACCACGCCTTCACCAAACTAAAATTGGGAAAAACTTCCTGCCGGTTTCATTAAGTCAGTTTTCAGCACACAACAAGCTGTCTGTAAGTCATCCTTGGTAGGAGAGCCCAAAGAGAAAACTACGAGATTTTAATGATTGCCTTGTTTAGTGACTGAATTACAAATGCATACTACTAAATAACAAAAAACGTGGCTAACATTGTGCGACTTCTATCTGGGTAACTCTTCAAACAAAAAACAGCATCCCCAAACCAATCTCCCCCATGCTTTATTCAACCCCCCAAAGCACCCAACAGAACATTTGCAAAGACATCCACCTGTGGAGTCAAACGTTCAAATAACACAGAGACCAGAGAGCTGCTAGGTGTTCCCCAAATCTTTCACTCTACGGTAGTACAGTTAGGGTAGTAAGGGTAGTGGGTGGACTCAATGATCTTTAAAGGTCTTTTTCAACCTGAGTGATTCAATGATTTTATGGAAGGAATAAAACTGTCTCCAGTGCAGTCTTGGTTGGAGTAACTTCCCCTCTTAGCAGACTAAAACAAGCCTCCTCTGTCTTTGGGGAGCATTCAAAGCTGAACTGATGTAGTACAACAGCCGCAGTCCTCCATTTTTATTATTTTTAATTTATTCTATGGGAAGTCTATAGGTCAAAACCAAAGTCTCAAAAACTCAACATCAACAGAGAAAGTGCTTCTGAAAGAAAGTTGGAGATGCCTCTACGAGTTAACCAAAGCACTTCATGAATACATGTATATCAGGTTTCTAACACTGAATTGGGTTTCAGTCGGACTTCTAAGAAGGCACCAGCTTGACAAAAATGAGCTGGACAAAAGCCAGCCCACATGTTTGGAATGGAGTTGTGCAGTGCCCCAAGAATACAAACCCATGTGCACTTTCAGTGTGATGGCATAGCAAATGCATAATGAATATACGTGTGAACTGAAAATGTCAGTGTAGTCCAACAATGAGAAAGAGAAAAATAAGTTACAGTGTACAGAAAGAATGTGCCTTCACTCTGTGACTGCAAGCATTCGCCCCAGCAAAGCACCAGTCAACCACTTCATCCTACTCTCTCATTAAGCATAGGCATAAAATAATATAGAAAGTAGAACAGGGTAAGAATGTGAATTATCCTGTATTTATCCTATAGAAAATAGTAATTGTTATAGGTTCTCTAGATCAAGTGAAATTTATCAGGAAACACCAAAGAAGACTGAGGATTTTTGATTGCAAATAGAGTAAGTATCTAGCCTGCCTGTAGCCAGTAACAACTTTAACAGCTTAACACATTTGATGCTGTAAGTTAAACACGAAGATCATCTTTTACATCTTAATTAACAACAGGCAACAAACAGTCCAGTTTCCTGATTATATTCTTCCCTTGACTCATATGCACACAGATGTTTCCCTTCACTGATGAACCAACAACACATTAAGTGACAGTGGTGATGTAAGGCATCACCTGAAAACACCTTGATAGCTCCAGGATCTCTCACTGCCTTACATCCCAGATTTTCAATAGAGATGATCCATTTTATTACATCAAAATGAGTTTGATGTTTATGCCCAAGTCTTTCTTCAGCCGATAAAGGACATATTTGTTACCACAGCATCTTGAGAGCAGAATAAAAGTAGAGGTACAAGGCAGCTGAATCCTGCATGTCTGGGAAGGACCTTATCTTCTTCCTCAGATGGCAAAGGAGCAGAATGTGGTCAAGAGGCAAAGCCATGACAAGCAGCATCTTCCAATGCCTCCAACAGTTCACTCATCTCTGAGGCAGCTGTGGCTTTGCTTGGCATTGCCTTTTATTATTACTATTTTAAACTGTCCTTCTCAGGACTTCTTACACTCCTCTTCTTCCTTAAAATTAAACTCAAAAATCTACGGAAAACATTGTTCCTACCAATGTATTTTGCCACTACTGCTAGTTGCAAAAAGCAATATTAGCACTTTGCAGTTCATAAAGAACGGAAATCCTATGAGTGTTGGAGACGCTACACACAGCCTGCAACATCAACCATAATGCAGAAAGAACCACATGATTTATTAGCACAACTTCACAATTATTGAAAATGAGATTTAAAGCCTATCCTAGGAAAGCGGAGAAAAATATCAGAGATGACCAAAAGGAGAAAATTATTTTGGCTTTGGTAGCTGAGAATAATGGTTCATTTTTATTTATTGCTAATTAAGGAAGCAGTATTACCTCACAGTTCCACAGAAGTTAATATCAGCTTAAGAAACTATATTCTGAAGGGCACAACCAATTTCTAGGTGAAGAATTTTAGAAGTTGTTGTGTTTCCTTGAAATTAAGGACCAAAGAGTTAATTAATCATCTCTATTAAAAATCCGGAATTAAGGCAGTGAGAGATCCTTGAGCTATCAAGGTGTTTTCAGGTGATGCCTTACATCACCGTTGTCACTTGATGTGTTGTGGATGCATCAGTGAAGGGGAACCTTTGCATTCTTGTCTAAGAATGCACAGTGATCTTCTTTAATATTGTAATACTTTGTAGAAGTGGCTCTGGCAACTTTAAGGAAGTTGCACAGACAACATTATTACCTGTATTAAGTAGAAATCAAAGCTGGAGGCATATTATATGTAAATGAAGCATGGAAAAATGCCAAGTCCTGATTTGAGTAACTGTAATAAGAGTTGTTCTTTGAAAGAAGTCAACATATTGACCACTAGGAAATATTTCCAAATACTACTAATGTCTAGAAAAGACTGAGAAAGCAAACAAGCAAAACGACTCCAACATTATCAATCACAAACCAAAAGTACTTCCATTTCCCACGGTGGTTTCTGTATTCTACAAAATCCCCAAATCACTGTGTTACTGCTGAGCTATGATCCTGTATTCGCGATGAAATTCCAAAAGTCATTTCTGCATTTTTTGCTAAGCATCCTCTTAGGCTATAAGACTGCCAGACTGCAGTAAGTCTGATGTGCTCTGAATATAAAAACACTTAGGATGTGCTTGGAGAGAGATGCTCCTGGAAAAGACCGCAACAGAACTGTGAGCTGAGCAGGAAGTCGCAGAGTAGTAACTTTCCCCCTGGACAGAGGGGAGACCAAAGAATTAATTAACGTGACAACTCCAAGCACAGCTCCCCCATCCCCACCTCCTCATCCCCAGCCTCAGCTCCTGGTGACTCAGGGAGGAAGGATGCCACTGCCCGGCATGACTCAATCCCAGTGACCCACCCACACTCCCAGCCCACCATCACTGCGAGGAGAAGCCATGGCAACCAAGTACAAAAACTAAAAGAGAGGGCACAGTCTGGAAGTGTGAAATATTTGCTACGGTGACTGCCACCAGCCCTGGGTGCTGCAGCCTCTGGATGTGGCCAGGCAGCTGACAGGTACGCATGAAAAATGTATATAAGGTGGTTTTGAAAAGAGCAAAATACACCAATTCCATTCCTGGCTTTCCATGAGAATATGTCAATGGCAGAGCAGCCTCCACACAACACATCCTCACGTACACAACTGCCTGAAGAATGACACAGCTCTCTTTAGGTACAACATACAGAAAATACTGGATACTGCACCTTGGAAACAATACAAAATAGATTATTGTGGAGCGCAGACATGATGTTATCTCCCCCTGAAAACAAACTCACCCTCTCTTTTAGTGCTATTATTCATATCCTTGCAGCAGTGAAATGTCACAGGGCCTGTCTTCACTGTATTTCAGTATAAAAGTCTCAACTATGTAGCAAACAGAGGCAACCCTGGGTTAAAGGGATGCAGATATATCCTGTTTACTTGCAGACATACTCCCCTAAAGTAAAACTAAGCACGTGGAGAGAGCATAGTTGAGATACTAAACTGTGAGTAGATACTTTCAGAGAAATTGGCAACTTAATCCAACATAGTGTGTCAAGCCATCCACCATTCCACTCAGAGGAAGGGGGACTGAGAAGACTGCATACAGATCAGTGCATACAGCTCCACTCAAGCTGCAAGACAGGAACTCCAGCACTGCTATGAACTCACCATTCTGGGTAAGCTTTGTAGAACAGACCAGAGTAGAAATCTGGAAAGAGTCTTTGCTGATGGTGCAGCTACCAAGGTTCTGCATGCTCTTCCCTGTTGCAGAGTGTCCCTTTTCCTCCAGCTCTATTTTAGTGGAAGGCAGACTTAAATATGTGGAGGCATCCTCAAGCTTCTTTGCTTCTGCCTGCAGCAGAGTTTTACATGCAACGTGAAAAACAATTTAAAAGAAAAAAAAGAGCAAAAAATCCTCATAATAGTAAAATTTTATTATTTACCCTGGAATTTCTTAAGAGCTGGCTCCACAATTGGAGTTATCCCATGAGTCGTTAACAATTGCACTAACCCATCTACAGCCTGGAGCCAAGATCTGATATTTAAAGGGCTAGACAAGTAGCTTTCCCCCCAGCCATGAAAATCCATATAAATAAAATTCAATTACAAGCCTAAGAAATTCAACAATTAAACCATCCCTGAGAAAACAGATCCCAGGTTTAACCATCAATCTGCCATACTGGCAAGCTGCACAGTACTTGCTAATTAGTTTCTTGATCTACTGTAATATTCCACAACAAGCATCTTGTTGTGTACATCACTGCACATCACAAAGCAGTGCACAAAGCAGTGCTCATACTTGGCCACCAACTACGGGAAGAGTATCTCAAAATTCTATACCTTATAAACTATAAGGTCATGTTCTCCATCTCTCAGCGTTGTTCCATCGTATCTCATGAGCTTCACAAATGCTAGGGCAAATATTTTTTCTGATTTATCTTTGGCTGTTAAAAAAGAAGAATCATACATAACTAAGTATTCAACATTAGCAGTGACACTTCATATAAGGTGTAAAAAAAAATAAAAAAAAAAAAAAAAAAAAAGGACAACCTGTATGCAAGTGATATCCTTAGAGTGGCTCTCATTGCAGGAAAAAAAAAGTAAAAAAAAAAAAAACCTAAAACATGGTCTTATATGTGTAACATAGAACCAAAAACAGGAAAAAAAAATGCATCAGTGTCTGGTCATGCTGACCCACTGTACAACCAATACAGACTAGTTAATGCATTCAAGTATGCTCTCATCATTCAACACGTGGTATCAAAAAATAACAAGGCATCCATGGTTAACAGAAATTGCAAATTAAATTACGAAATAAAACCAGAAGGAAAGTGCAATCAACTTGAGAACTTGAGGTGGGCCAATGAGCCTATGAAGAAGCACTGGGGCCCTAAATCACAGACTGCAATTAATATTTAAACTGGGGCTAACCTAACTGTTCGTACCATCACATATATATACACATATATATTTTTTTACTCTAGTAGTCTGCAGTTCACAATCACAATTTTGACACCAATGACTCTAATTATCTGCATACAGAGTTTTCATTAGTAGGCACTAGTCTCAAAACAAAGACAATCTCTTATTAATGACCATTCTACAAAGCATTCTGCTTTAACTAAATAACTGTTATGGGGTAATGAATTCCACACTACACAGATGAGCATATATAAGAAGTACTGCATATCCTAAAACGCATCCAATGGACACCACCCAGATTAACACCTAGGTCAACACATGTATTCTGCAGCAAAAAAAATTGCTGCCAACATGAAAAGGTATTCTTGTCCATTGAGACAGCCATTGCCATTACTGGGCAATGAATGAATGTTATCATAATCAAGATGAACCCCCACATTTTGCTAGAGAGCAACTGCTGACAATTGGAAGATATCTAGCAGGATTGGCTGGGTGCTCAGCCTACCAAAGCATCTGAGCTGCCAACATTACCCAAAAGCTGAGGAGAACCACAAGCCCTCAAGAATCACTTATTTCAAAACAACCACAAGTCAGCTTGAGAACCAGAAACGGAAACCAAGTTTCCTAATAGGTTCTACTACTGATCCTAAGCCTGCTGTAACTTCTCTTTCACGTTATTTCATATGTGGGACGCTACTAAACATTGAAATATCTTCACTACCACCTACCTCTAAGACGAGCAACACCACAACCCTCTTGGTTCCTAACTGAAATCTTTACTCACTAGCCCTTATACCTGGTTTGGAGAAATGACTGGGCAGGAAAAGAAAAAGACAATGTCAAAGGTAAGAGCTAGAAGTCACAAAGAGAAAAGAAGTTGAAAAGCAAACATAAAATAAGCTTATCCCCAGCAAAACCAATTGTAACAGTCAATTACAGATTAGAAATTTTATGCCTGTTTCAGCAGATTTCGGCACCAGACACTGACAAGAATCATAATGAAAAGGCCAAATTACTCACAGTCCTGTGACGATCTGTGTCGGAACGTGAACCTCAAATGACTCCGGTTCACATCTTCAATAGGGATTGCGACCTTCACGTTTTGTGAGAGAGGATGGAGAAAGGAAACAGTCAGGGCAGTATCCTTAAACATACTTACTGCTACTAAATCTCATCTAGACATTTTCAACGCTAGTCTTGGCTCTTTACAAAAGATTAAGGTTAAGGACAAGTTTCAGTTGCCACCAAAGACCAAAGGTCACAGACTCTCCAGGAAAATCAACAATTCTTGCACTAAGGAAAAAAAAAAAAAGGAAAATGAAGTGAGGCTGTTAAGCCACTCAGCAAGACATGGAGATATTAAGGCTGACAGGGCCACGACGGTCAAAACCTCAGAGCATTCCCTATCAACCCCCCCAGCTCAGGAATGAGCCCACCTTGACTATGACTGGCAAAGATGAACTTTTTAAGGTATTTATTACCTATGCACCACTTGTACTGCACAAACTATTAGTTCATCCCTGATCCCCATGTAACCAACATGCAGAGATGTAACTACTATTCTCCCCTGATATTTTTGCTAGAGTTGCTGTATTTACTCAGTCACACGCACAGCAAACTCTATGCTGTCTACTGCTCCCTACTGCATCAGAGGTTCTGAGACTCCCAAGCAGCCACTTTCTGCTGCCACATGCAATGAGAGCTCCTTTACTTGAAGCTATGGTGTGGAGAGATGCTGAGAGCCCCTTCTTTGATATGCATCTACTGTTCCCACTGACTACAGAATATTTCATTAAGCTGACACTGGCCTCCTACATAAAAATCGGCATTTAAACTAAAATGTTATTACCAAGCAGCTTCAGCAAGCTTGCAGCACAATCAGCCAAGTCCCAAAGCAACGATGAGTTCAACAGTATAGCAATTATGTTTTAATCTCAATATTCTGCTTTTCTAGGTCAGTTTCATGAAAAGAGTACAAACCATTCCTAAACAGATGGTGCAGTGCCCTCATAACAGCCATCTTGACCAAAAGGATGAAATAATTTTTTTTATGCAATGGAAATCTAATCTATTTTCCAGCCATCTCTGAAATACCTCCTTTTTTTCTACTGAGGATGGGCTACAAGTATTCATTTTCCTAAATTCACTCCTCAAGACTTTCCACTGAACTCTATATCAGCTTCATATGAATACACATGGATGAAATTGTTGTAACGTGTTTGTACCTTCACAGTCTCAAACCAGCGAGGCTGCTTTACTTGGTAATATATTACTGATTTGTACTCTGAGATGGCTTCATCGCCAGCACCAGGAAAAATAACACTCTAGAAAACACAAGCAGAAGAGAAAATGTTTATGTCCATCTTAATCTCTACTTTTCAATTCAACGAATAAAAAAAATAAATTAGTAGGTAGGTCAAAATATGACAGAAAACATGCACTGATAAGGAAATCATGAGGAGAAAAATTTGTTGTAAACAAAAATAGGGAGTAAAGATGAAAATATCTAAAAAGATGTTGAAGAGATTAAACACATACAAAAAAAATAAGACATTAAATGATACCTCTAATCTTTTCCCATCCTCATCATAAACAGACACTGTAACTTCTACATTTTTTGCTGTTGTTTTACTGCCTTTGTCAAAATCTCCTTGAACCAACGTTACATAGATATCATTCCGAACATCACCTGCAAGAAAAGCAGCACAAAGTTTGGAGCAATTTTCACAGTGAATGGTTTGATTTGTGGAATGTGCAACACCCAGACTCAATGACCGACATCACCACTAACACACACACACACACAGACACACACACACAGCAAAATGTCTGAAAGCCACCATATTTTGAACATTGAAAACCAGCAGTGCTGAAAGCAGCTATGGTTAGCTAAAATTGGTTTAAGATTTGTAAAACTTGAACTACCAATGAAGCTAAGAAATAAACAGAACAAACAACCACATAATTATTCCTGGGCTGAAAGAATACATCCTCATCATTAAGATTATGTACCATATCATTCCAGAAACACCTCAGGTCTCTGGCTGGCTCTATCCTTTATTTTCATTATTAATTTGAAAGGTTGCACCTCAATTCCTTCAACTTACCTCACACACGTATTTTATATGACAGCCTATGGAGGTCTGCTATAACATTTAACTGGGAGATGTTCTGATGTTTTGCTGCTGAGGGCTTCAGGGGAGGACTACATTTAGCTTTATGTCTCAAAATGCTCTTCAGCCTCACTCCCATTAAAGTCAAACTTTGAAATGAGCTGGGAAACAGGATTTCCAATAATTCCAAGAGGCAGATGGTCTACGTGCCAACATCCCATCGTAACAAGCAGAGGTGCTGAGGCACTTAGAACATATTGGATATACTGTCTGACAAACACAGTCCGCAGCCAAGGAGAGCTGGAACTCGCTCGTTTCTGAAAGTATCTGATGGCTTCTCCAGAGCCCATCAATCTGAAAGGACAGTGGCATCTCTTCCTGTATTCTGAAGTTTGGCTTTTCTTACTGTTGGAGTTTTTATTTGTCTGGGGGTTTGTTTTTTGTAAATAAGCACCAGGGTTGAACATCCACAGAATACACACAGAAAGGAGACATTATAGCTCTCTTCTATACGTATTATTCAAAGTTAGCATAAAACCTAACAGAGCTGCTATCTCTAGATCAAGCCTTTTGCTCTGAAAAGTCTTATCTGCTTTCAGGTTTGGATTCACCTCAAGGAGACAGGTTTTACATCTGCCCTTGCTAGGGAGACAACACGAACAGTGCATTTTGTATACATTTTCTTTCACTGGAAACAGGAGAATTTCCATTATCATCTCACTGTCATGTCTCTGTTCAGGGAGCAGAAGGATGTTACTACATTTATTAATTTCTACAACATACACTTGGTATATGCAGTGGCAGGTATATACTTATCACCACTCTATATGTATTTTGGGACAAGATCATAGAATCATCAAGGTTGGAAAAGGCCTCCAAAGATCATCCAGAAAAGACCTCCAAGATCCTTTGATGACGCCCTATTTCTAATAGATACCACTACCACTTGCAGGTGCTTTTTTCCCCAAGGTTTCTGTGCATGCAGGTATTTAAAGAAGGTTAAAATTTATCAAAGAAAAGTGCATTCACACTTACCAGGCATAATAATCTCAGGAAACCCCATTTTCCGAGCCACAGCTGTTGACCTATCCACTAAGTGTGGAAACTCTTTTCTAATCTGATGAATATCTCCCGGAAGAAGTTTCAAAGTCACCCACAAACCTGTTGGGTAAAAATCACTATTATTATACTTGTGATTTCTCTAGTTTGTCTCTAGAAGATGTTTATCCATTTAGGGGACACATTCAGGAGCAACTGCATACAGCTTCTCACAGACAGGCTTACAAAGCCCAGGTCTCAGTACAACCTGGAACCTTCACTACAACCCATCCTTCCTGAGCAGAGCAACAGGTCAGCAGGATCACAGCACAACAGCTGTAAGAGGGAAACCACTGGGCAGCATCCAGACACACGGAGGCCCTTCACACGCCACCATTAATGCCAGAACTCCTCCTGGCAGCATTCTGAGAATCAGACTTGTCTCACTCCTCATGCCTTACACACAGGGCCTTGCAGAAATATGGTTATTAAGCCATTAACAGAATAGCCTCAAGCTTTCAGCTCTCACAAGTCCTTTCTAAAGGGAATGTTTATCTTCCACAGGAAGAAAGAGAAGCAGCAGATTCTCCCGTTCAAAGCTAGGTTACGTTATACAGCCAAGCAATCTGGATGCACCAAGGCAGTCAGCACCAACAGCTGACAGATACCCTGAAATGGTTCAGGCCCACCACCCCCATCAGCTGTTTTCAAGGCACTGAACACCCAAATCTACAGCATCAGCTTTACGCAGTCAACATTTTCCTCTCTATTCCAGCAGCAGCAGCCGCTAAAGCCTGTGCTTGCCAACTAACATCAGGCATGCTTGCTATAGGGGGAAAAAAAAAAAAGACACTAAAATAAGTGTTCCCCACTTGGTAAAGTGGCTGCCAATTACGCTGAAGCATGAAATAATTGCAGCAGCAATTTTCAGAAAATCCCAAAATTAAAAACTGTGAAAAGAATACCTCAAAAATATTCATCTATAAAACGACTGTGTGAGTAACAGGATAACCCACCATTTAACTACGCATTTGTTTTGTATATATCTGGCAGCTAGCTTTCTTTTTTTTTTTTTTTTTACTAAAATCTCTCACAAATGGCTTTGGTCTGACTTGTTGCCAGAGACAGTTCTACCAGCTGCTATTTCATTAAACAGTAATGCACCCACAAGGACTGGCCAAGCCACATCACTTTGTCCTCTCTGGTTTGCTGGGGGTGTGTAAACCCGGCTTAGGGAAAGCATTTGGAATGAATCAGAGTTTCCTCCTTTCTGATATGTGCTTCTCACAAGTGAAAACTGAAGAAGGGAGGAATCAGAACCAAGTTTTCCACTTCAGTTTAAAAAAAAAATACGTGTATATACGTATGAAAATTTAGAGTTTTACTTTCTATAAGTCATTAAAAAAAATCAATTAAAAAAGAAAAATAAAAAATCAGCAAAGCAGCACATAATTTGTCCTGGGCCTATTTTTTCATATACTCAAAAGCCAGCTGTAAGCAGGGTGCTCTGCACCAACCTGCCTGGAATTCATAGTGAAAAAGGATCACAGCCAATACTGTAAACAGAGCCACGCCATTCACTTTTTAGCTGGCAGATACACTGTGTTGTACACAACAAAGGCAATCCAGAGGAAACAAGAGGGATCACTGGAGCTGCTTCCTCCTGCAGAGGCAATGGTGTGGGATCTGATGGGAGAAACCCCCTTCTTTGCTGGATGGGAAGCCAACTGCTGCGAACGCAGCTGCAAAGCAAGGAGAAAGGGGGGAAGGAAAGGACTATTCCTTCCTTCAGCACGAGGAGATGACATCTGCAGCTCTGTGGCACAAGGGCAGACTTCCTGAAGCAGTTTTCAGCACAGAAACACAGAGATGTCCCAGCGAGGGACTCCGAAGAGAAAGGACAGAGGGTCTGCAGGGCTGACAACAGGGGCAAGAGATGCTGAGCAGAAATAGCAGAATTAACCTCGAAGGGGAGGAAGCACAGCACAGATATATTTTCTGGTCCCAAACAACAGTATTGGTGACATTATGCTCTCTTGACTCCATGATTATAAGAATCCCATGCTGAAAAAATCAAGCAATGAGCATTTCTTACATACACTGGTGTATAGAAAGAACTGTACGTACCCTGACCCTTGTGGTTAACTTCTTTAGCAGCAATCACTTTGTTTATAACAGTCTGAAGGAAATCATTCTCCCCTGCCACCCTGGGTGAAAAACGGGATGATATGTTCAGCTGCTTGTGTCGAATGGCGTCATCCAACGCTAGCCTGGAGGATGCACATGACGACCAACACCAGGAAACAAAGGGTCACAGAAAACCAGAAGTCACAGTAACAAGGAAACACAAAAGATCATATCATAGTTGTGACAAAGAGTATTTATTAGTCAACGCAAGACAAAGGACAGGAAAGGTAACAAGAAAGACAGAGGAAGACCATTAATCAGAAGAACGCTGATCTACTCAAGAGAAGTACAGCAAACTCGTGTTGTTACTTCTTCCTTCAGGAACATGCATGCACAGCCCCCATAATTCTTTATTAGGATAGGAAGGGAGTCTCCCGCCTGAGAACCCCCAATTAAGCAGTGAAAACCTACACAGGTAGGTTTTTGTTTTAAATACAAAGCCACAGACTGGCCCTGTTGTGCCTTCAGGGTCACTGCTGGGGGTCCATAAAGGAAGCAGCAGTGCATACAGCCTGAGGGAAAAGCTTCTATCCATCTCACAGAAATGGTAGAGGACAAGAAAAGCAGATAATCCAAACATTCGGTTAAACTTGATGAATAAATGAAGAGATGAAACCTACAAATAAACACCAGCATTAAGTGTCATTTAAGCAATCGTGCCAAGTGCTTTCGACAGCCATTGTGTTGGTGGCTAGTGAATGAATACAAACAAACAAAGATGTGAAAACAGAGTTGCATGTGGTACAACAGAAGCAAAGCATGGGATGAGAAGAAAAATGTGGCTCATATATACAGCCTAAGTCTACATTAGAAATAATGACACCGGCATTCATTGCATGCTTTCACATTATTCGTGCTGTTTGGAATAGACTTTTTTCTGAAGCATGTTTTAATTTAGTGCTGCAAAAAAATAAAATAAAATACATCCCATATCTTTTCAAATACCTGATTTATACAAACAGAAAAAATAAATCAGTTTTAATGGAATAGAAAACTAGATGTGCCATTAGCATCCACTCTGACACACAAAGATTCATCTTCACTGCATATTTCCACACTTGCTAGAAGAAAGCTGGCTATTGTTTGCCACACAATAAACATTATCATGAAAGCACTCTTTCCTGTAGAAGTCTGTTTACCTTGAAAAATAGTTACACTTCTGATTTTCACAGTAACTGATGCTGTTACATACAAAACCATTTTAGACATCAGCTATACATCCATTCCCAGCAGCACCTTACATTCTGTCTATACCCCTGGATCTTCAAACCACGAGGTTTCCAAAGCCTTCCAAAATTTGGCCTTTTTACCAAAACGAAGTTTAATTTGTGACTACATTATTCCAAGCTTTTTTGTTCTTTTTTTTTTTTTTCTTTTTGCATTATTAAACACCCTCCAAACACTCATTAGCATATCAATCAAGGCATTTTTGGTTAACATTACTTCATGGTTCACAATGTTGAACAGATGGCAGCGTAACATTTCTTAGAAAGAATACACTAAGCACTGCAGCTCTACACATGCATTTGTCTTATCCCTTCTACCTTTCTACACTTCACATAATAGGAAAAGAAACCTCCATGAACTATGGATGGAAGTAAAGTTCTGCCACAGCTCTCCTCTGTTAAAATGCCTTTACTGCTACAAAATCAAAGATATATGCGTACTCTTCTACACGCTGAAAAAAAAATCAGGTTGTATTTCTGAATATGATCTAGTGGCTGGAAGTCAAAACTGATTTGCAACTGCACTGAATACAAACACATCAGTATTTTAGATGGACACCATCAATTCTATACTCAAGCTCATTTAATTACTCCAAAAGTTAAGAGAAATGGATATTATTGTTTTCATTTTAGCCTCTGCCCAATGCATCTTACAGATTAAAATAATAAAACCCAAAAAGACAGCAACTATGGCTTCAGTTTAGTCTCAAGTATGGGAAGGTCTGCAGTTTCAGAAGACTGAAACCAAGACCAAGCAGGACACTGACCTCCCTGATCCTCTGCATCAACTATAACATGCACAGCAGGCAGATCTCCTTCACCATCCAACCAACATCTTTACTGGTTCTGGTGAAGTCTCATATGAAGAAAACAAATCAGAAGTATTCCAGGATGTATATCAAGCCTTCTTTCAAATTCTCAACACTTATTTTGACAACTATTATGGGCCCTACTCTGCCATTTCATCTCCTACCAAGAAAAAGATAAGTGCTGTCTTTAACTCATTTCACAGAGGTCACCTGGATTGGATGTCTTTATCAGTCTTAGCCAGCATTGAACCTGCAATGTAACTATTGCAAGCACTGCACTTCTTAAGTGTGATAACACTAACATCTTATGCAAAAAAAAAAAAAAAAAAAAGAAAGAAAACAAAACTAAACCAAGAATGTACCCTGTAAACTCAATTTTAAAAATTTAAAGTAAGTTTTTGGTGCTGACAGTACTACAGCTATTGGGAAATAGGCAACAACAAAAATTAAGTAGTATTTAAGATAAGCTATCAAACTGAAATAAATCAACTTCAGAATACCATAGAGCACATCTTGCAATTAAAATTTAAACCATAATAAAAAGTCACAATCTTTGTAATTCTGCTTATTCTTTAAGCTGTTCATTACTTACGGTTGAAATGGTATGAAGTGCTGTTTGTCCTCATCATCAACTTTCCCATTAATTATGTCGGTAACATCCATTACTGAAAACAAAAACGAAGTACACTGAATTTAAGGAGAGGTGCAGGAAGAAGAGTGGTGAGGGGACACCCTGAGGGGCAGGAAACAACAGTGACTAAGCTCAGGCTTAGGCAACCATGTGATGTGGCAAGTAGGGATGCTGCACACAAGAAGTTACCTGCTACTCCAAAAGGCCGCCGGAGCCCAGAGGTCAGCTTCCTCGTGTTGTTGTCCCTCAGCTCCATTCTGCCCACCCTCACAATCTGACAAACGAAACTGATTTTCTCTCTTTTCAGGTCTTTGCTGCCGAGGTCCTAGAAATATTAGTTGTGTCAGATTGTTTTATCATAGCTGAATTACGAGTTCCATTTAGTACAATTTAGAACATTTGCCTTCGTCATCGCAGGCTCTAGCACAAGAACAAATTGTTCCCAGAATTTTAAGCCTGTTTGTAACGGTAGTTATGCCTTATCTTGACTTTTGCTTAGGAAGCCAAGTCATTTCTAGTAAATTAAACCTTCAAGAAGCAACCTCACCCTTGTGTTTAAAAGTTTTAAAGAGACATTCACTTGTAAGAAATATCTCATAGGAGCCTTCAGCAGGACTGTGACTGGCAGAGCCAACCCCACCACTGGCACAGAGGTTAAGTCCTCAGTTATTCACAGAATGGGAGAGAAATCCTTTAGACTCTGCAAGCTGAACCAGCCCCCAGCAGACTTACAGTGAACACTGCTCGGAGGTTGTGCAGCCTGTCGATGTCCTTGGGGAGCCCAGAGCTTGACCACCGCACCAAATAGTTTTCACTGAAAAAACAGCATTTTTGTTTAAATGGCTTCGCTGAAGGTACAGTTAGAAAATCAACTTACAGAAGAATATCTTCAGCCCAATCTATCTATGCTAATCAAATTAATATTTACTTAGTAGACAGCTGCCATTTTCTTACGCATGCATCGCTCATGAAGGAAAGCAGCTCTTCAGCAAGGCAGGGTACAGATTTCTGCAAGGAAGCAGGGGGTGCAGGAACGGCTCACAGTGCTGTCAGTGCTGCTGCCAAGAAAGCACACGCAGCCTTGCAGGTGTGTTCATGTCTCATTTAAGCTCTGCACTTGAGGAACTGAAGACACGGTGTGATAAGGAACAGCACGATGTACCCAGGGTGAAGGGACTTGCCGGATGCTGTCTGAATACGACTGAAGTGCTGCTGCATCATTACTTCCCAGATAACCCCGTCCTGCACATTTCACAGAAATTTGACTTTCATAAGCCCTGCACCATCCTGCAGAACTACCACACCACTAAGGAAGAACAGAGAAGGGAATATGCTCAGGAGTACACTAACCTGATAAATTTTGATTCATGGGGATCATAGAGAGACATGAGGACTTCAGCATCTTCCCCTATTTTGCAGACTACATTTTTTAAATTTACAAATAAAGCAAACGAAGGAGTGGCAGCAAACTTAGCTTGTCTGTTGATATCGATATTCTGTTTCTGAGACTGTAATTTAAGAACAGAAGAAACTTTAATTTAATGTAACCTCACAAATATCCAACTGTTACAAAATCTTCCTGAAACCTTTAAGACAGTAAAAGGAGTTATCTGTTGTGAGCCTGCTCTTGCTGTCTTTGTTTATATTAGATCCAGAAAATGCAGTTTGTTGTAAATTCTATCTCGAAGAGCTGCTCCACAAGGAATAAAAAAAAATGAAATAAAAATAAATTAAGAAGCATTGAATCACTCACTTACTAAAAAAGGAAACTAGTCAAATGGAGAAGATTTGCCACTCCTGGCAAAAAAGCAAACTTGTTCTCTTCTGGCTCTCCTATGGCACGCACCAAGACAGCCAGGAGAGCCAGCAGTGGTGCTCTACAGCCAACCAGCCCACCCTTCATCCATTAGCTCCACAGCACTTTCCATGAATGCCTCATCCAGGCAGGAGGAAGGAGCACACATGGGACAAAAAGACAGGAGGGAGGATACTGGAAGCAGAGAAACTCTTCTCACTGGCACCAAAGTGCAGTGATGTGGGCCCAGTCCATCCCTCTCCAGGTTCTGCTGCAATAAGTTGGAGCCTCAGCATCAACAACAGCTGATGTTCAACAGTAAACTACAAGCCTCTTAAAATACAGTGAGCTATGGGAAGAGGTCATGGTACATCAGGACATCTAGGCAGAATTATTGTTTCTAATACTGTACCTTTTACCCCCAAAAAAACAAAAAACAGGAAACAACCATGGAAACTGGTTTAAGCAGGGACAGTGAAAGAGCTCTGGATGCAGAAATAGCATGGTTTAAATTCTCTTTACATTAGATTTTTTTACATCAAGTTTGGTGAGTGCTGCAAGTGAGTTTATATGGTCCACTGCAACTCAGGAGGACACAGAACTCCTCACTCTGCATTACCAAACTCCTGAGGAATTGCTCAGGAATAGTGTGCTCCACTAACCCCTGCTACTGACACTGGGAAGACTCCTCACAATGGAAGTGTTTTTCAGTATAAAAATTAAAATATGAATTGCAAAGAAGGTTACTGCTTAAGGCTGGGAAAGTCTTTCTGTTTTCCCCCTGTATTTCAACAGACAAGTTTTTCCACTCTTGGTAAACACAAACCCCAACAACCTAGGAGCACTGGAGCACTATTCTGTGCAATGCTCCAAAACAAACCCTCAGGAAAATCTAACATACACAAATACCCTTCCTCTGCATCTCCAACATCAACCTACAAGCACAGCTGATTTATTGATACTACTGCAAATTTCAGCAAGTCTTTAAAAGGAAAAAAAACCACAACAGTTAAACAGTCCCTGATGCTACTTCTTATAAAATATTTAAACCTGATAACTCCTCATAAACATATCGGATCTTTCATTACCAATGCTAACAGTAGCAGTAATCTAGTTAAGATACAATCTTATGTTTCAAAGGGAAAAGGCACAGCTGCACAGCAGTTCTTACTTTTTCCTCCAGCAACCTCTCTTCCACTTGCTTGGAAGCTATTTCATGTGCTCTAAAAAGGCTGATTGTGCTCGTCTGCTCCGGGTCCAAAATATTGCCATCTTCATCTCTAACGACCAGATCTAAATCAAGAATCCTGAACAGAAACAAAACATGCTTGTGAATAACAGTACTCAAATAAACCCTTCAATAACACCTGCAAAGTGTTTACTGTTAACAGCATTTGCTCCTGACGTGTGATAGAAATAATTATTTGATGCTTGGTAAAAGTATTTAACATGTTACCAGCCCAGGAGATAACCATCCCTAGCTGGAAGACACTTTTTCCCCACCAGCACAGGAAGAACTGATGTACATGAAAGAGCAGAACAGCTGGGGAAGCAGTTTCTTAAACAACTGAATTTGCAGGAGCTGTTTGTTGGAACTGTCAAATGGATCAGAGCAGACATCTACATTCACGCCACATGCAAATTGGTCAGTTCTTTCCTTCCCACTCTATACTCTCCTCCAAAGCATATTAATCACAGCTCAGTGAAAATCTACAAAATACACAAAGGCACAAAATGTCCCTCTTTATTCAAGGCAGAAGCCAGGTTTCTGTCAGCAGGCAGTTAACATCCACGTTTATCTTCTGCAGCAAGGAAGGTTTTTGCCATAACCAAGTCCAACCTTTTTCCATGGGACTGCAGTGCTGGCAGTGAAATCAAGGATAAGGAAAACTGGAGTCTAAGTCGACCTTATTTCTCTTTTTGTCTTCTCTAAGACTTATCTCTTCATCTCCCCATCAATAAAAGTGGTCCCAAATACTACCACCTCTAATTACATAGTCATCTCTCATGATGGAGCTGCTGGAACTTTGCCTTTTATATGTTTGATCACTAAGCTTAAATCAAACTTGCTGGACCTGAGAAGCCATGGAAAGGTTCACTGTCTGAGTAAATCCCCTTGGACAGGACCCAGAAACACTTGAAGAGCATGAGCTGTGGAAAACTTCTTGCCCTCCTGACAAGGGGGAAACCCAAAGGTTTGGAACAAATCTCTGAACTTCATGAGTCATTACAGAAACCTTCTAATTAATTGCTGCGTTACCTCAAAGGGGGAACACATCACTCAAGCAAGCCACAGAGTGCAGGTCATTAATTAACACCTCCTAAGCTCTGCTCCAAAGTGCACCTAAATATCCTAAGTACTCTAAGCAATTCACAGACAAGTTTTTCAGTGAGGAAGTGGTTTCATCATTGAAGGGGAACAGAAAAGCAGCCAAAAAACACAGTTTTGGGACAGCAGCCCAACCAAGTGGACGAGAGGAAAGCAACTCACAGGAGCAATCACCCACAGCCTTCAGCACACCGACAGGACAAGAACGGATGCACAGATTGTCAAGTGAACAGAAGTGAAGTACACTTGGGTTTAATTCCTTTGTCTTATCCCTTAACTTGCATTTGTTGCTTAGAAAAAAAAGAAACAAATTTCTCCTTGAATGTCCCAGTTGCAGATTTTTGCAATTGAACAAGAAAGATGTTTTTGCAACAAAATTATCTGACCCAATTTCAGACAAACAATATAAATGCAACTTCATAAAAGTACTTTCTCACTTCCTCAGTTATTTTGACAACATGCAGCAAAATTGTCATCTTTATTTATAGGAATATCTTATTTACAAATCAGTATTTCACAAAACAGGAAAAGTTAGAATACGATTAGATCAGAAAAAATTTATAAAATGCATAATGAAGTCTTCTTGTCTGCATGTGGCCTTCCAGTACTTGAGAGTATAAGGAGAAGGTGGAACAGCTGTTTACAAGGGTGGATGGTGAGAGGACAAGGGGGAATAGTTTTAAACTGAGACAGGGGAGGTTTAGGTTGGATGTTAGGAGGAAGTTTTTCCCGCAGAGGGTGGTGAGGCACTGGCACAGGTTGCCCAAGGAGGCTGTGGATGCCCCATCCCTGCAGGCATTCAAGGCCAGGCTGGATGTGGCTCTGGGCAGCCTGGGCTGCTGACCTGCACATAGCAGGGGGTTGGAAGCAGATGAGCGCTGTGCTCCTTTGCAACCCAGGCCATTCTATGACACCAAAATCATCGCTTTTGCTTATTTTAGACTGAAGTGGATACAGGACTACGTTAAGAAGCATATAGGATCCGTTCAGGTGTTAGCATTTATTTAGAAACTCAAATTCACTTTTCTCCCATATTCTACAGAGAATGTTCTGATCACTGAATTAGTTCATTAGAACATTATGAATATAAAGCACGGCACAAAATGTTCTACTGTGTTTGAACACTGAGCATCTGGAGGTTATTCAGAGTAACTTTAACCATCTCCTCAGACAGATGGTAAAATACAGTAGCCAAACAAACAATATCAACAACATCTGGTCAACTGTCTATTGGGGTACAGCAGTCCACGCCTTGGATGATACATGCAGAAGCACTGACTGAATGGGCTTATTGGTTTATTGTTTCATTTCAAATTGTGGCTTTTGGAAGTCATGGGGAAGTTCTTTACTATGAGAGTGGTGAGGCTCTGGAACAGCTGCCCAGAGAGGCTGTGGATGCCCCGTCCATCCCTGGAGGTGTTCAAGGCCCTGGGCAGCCTGGGCCAGCATTAAATGTGGAGGTTGGTGGCCCTGCATGAGGCAGGGCGTTGGAGTTTCATGATCCCTGAGGTCCCTTCCAATCCAAGCCATTCTGTGACCAAGGCCATACTACAAGTTTGACAGCTCTCAAAGAATGAAGCACCAATAGCTGAAATATGATGAGTTATTTACATCACAGGGATTCAAATACTGGTTTGCACAACACTTTTTCAGTCTCTAGCGCAGAGACAGTACTACAATGTTCTCTTGGTACTCAAAATACTCTGTCACATTTTTTATGCTGCAGAAGAGTTTAAATGACATCTTGAAGAGAAGAAATACTTGTGCTTTTTAACTGACCTTAAAAAAGACACAGAAAACTTCACACTAATCTCAAATTGCATCAGCAAGCAAGGAAGAGTTACATAAGGATCCTATTTTATATATTGCAGTTTGCTCTATACTAAAGAGATGCTGTATCAATTTCATTCTTTATCATGCTATAATAGGACTTTCAACATACCATTATTCCATCTGCATAAACACAGGAATAAAGATACTACAAGACATCGTTGACAGCTAATGTGTAATACAAAGCTGGTTTGCTTTTCCATCAGAAACACTTGGAAAATATTGCTCACAAACCTGTTTCCATAGTCAATTTTGGCAGTGACCTTCTTTTTCAGTTCTTTGAGCTCATCTTGGGGGAGAGTCCCAGACAGTATTTGAGATCTCCACTCAATAAGGTCATATATCATGTGCCGTACACTGCGAAACATTTCCCTGTTATCTTGCTGTTTGGAGGAAAAAAAATGAGTACAGGTTAATTCTGAAGTCTAGTGAACATCCTTTAAGTACATAAAATAAATTACAATTGTAAGATAGGAATTTAAAAGCATACAAGTCTATAACTAGCTCTCACATAGAGCCTAACTACAGCACACTGCTACAGACAGAACACTGAATACACATATTTATGTATACACACACATAAATATATACACACACATTCATATATACATATGTATGTCTCTCTATAGAACACTGAACACAAGGAGTCATATGCTCTGCATTGGGTACCTAAAGAAATATAAACGTTTGTGTTTAAGTCATCTTAAAGTCATAATGGTTTTGATAATGGCATTCAGTCAATGTTTTTTTATAATCCTCTTCCTAGCCCACAAAATCTATCCAAGCCATTAACTCATTACAGAAGACACCTTTCTAAATACCCTTTATCACCAAACTGTTCAGGTTACGCATACCGGTCCTTCATTCAGACTACACTCAGGTCTTATTGGATTGAATCCAACCAGAATAATTAAATAATTACCATGCAGTTAAAACAGGCTGCTATGTCTGAAAAATGAAGACCTGCAGAATGTGCAGAAAAATAACACAACGCCTGAAAGGCTCCAGGAAAAAATATATCTAACTGTGAAATGTAAAGGCTTCAGTCTGCTCAGATCATCGAAAAGCTGACTTGATTATAGTGTGAGAACTTCCACAGAGAAAATATCAGTTATTAAAAGCTCCTTAATGTCGCAGAGAAAGACACAACACGCTCCTGTGGCTGGAAGCTAAATGCAGACAAATTCAAATGAGAAGGAGGTTTATGATTTTCAGCACTGCAGGCAGTCATAAGCTAGTGAGACAAAGATCATGCCACTTCCTCCACCATCTGCAAATCAACACCAAATGCCTATTTGATACCCAAAAATACAAATTATGGGCTGAAGGGTAAGTGTGGTCATTTAACGAGCTTTGATAAGCAACGTGTGGATAACACAGATCTCTCCAGTCTGTAAACTGAGTGGTTTGAAACCTGTCACCTCCAGACAACATAACCCCACTGAAAGAAAGGGATCTCAAAGCACCAGTCCTCTTAGCACCAGATAAACACATGCACTTAATCTAACAGATACACTTGAGATAAAGCAATGAATAAACTCGCCAAGCATTCTACCCATCCAGCAGAGGGACTGCATCCCCATCTGCCACCGAGCTGAGGCTACTGCTGGTGTTAGCTCTGCTCCTCAATGCCAAGCTCTTAGAAAAGCAATACAGCATTCCACAGCTGACCAACACCTCCCCACAAACAAATCCCGGCCACAGAGACACGACACATAATAGTTAGAACAAGCAACTCCTACATTAGGAGAACTTCGTAACTCCTGGAAAGTTCCAACTGCAGAAAGCACACACAGGTCCTGGTAAGAAAACTTCTAACAATGACTCTTCCCACTGCTCTTTTCTCCCTGCGCGTGCACCACAATCACATCTGATCACACACATCCAAAAAAGGGGTCATCAATGCCAAAATGAGTATAACCCTGCCATCAGTAACACACAGAGCAGCAGAACTCAGCATAAATACAAGTCTCACAACCTGGTCAGAACTGCTGATCAAACAGCTGAATAGGGTGACATTTTAATTTTCCCTCTTTATATTCACAATAGTAATAACTGAAATATTAAATATTAACTGAAATATTAAGGATCCTTCTCAAGAATTCCTATCTTGCCTCTCTCAGCTTCTCCCACTGCAGACTCTGCTCCTCCTATTTCACCTCTGCCCATTGATTTCACCCTTGCTCCTCAACACACAAGCTCTCCAGTATCATCTCACATTAAAACTCTCTTTACATACGATCTGCTTCTCTTCACATGCCACACTGTCCTCCATCTTGTCTTCTGCAACACGGGATCACTTCCAGCAGACTGGTTTTGATCTCACCTTCACGTTCACAATTGTGATTCAAAACATCTTAAGACTTAAAATCCCTACTGATGGGCTTTAGGTCAGTTGCTCAGAAATCCTGGTTTCTATCCACCTTCAAATATCCTTTAACAGTACACCAAGTATAAAACAGGCACATGAAAATGGGAATTTCTCATTTCCTGCCATCTTCAATTTTCCTGTATTAAAAGCAGTAGTTTTTAGCAGTAGCTTGTGTTCTCAGTAACATTACAATATTCATTCCTCATTATACAGCCTCTCCTGGTACAACTGAAGATTTCAAATGAACATTTATAAGGGATGAATATTCCTCATTAAACCCCACTTTAAAAGTAACGCTTCAATATTTGCACAACTTAGTTCTAATGCTTTTATACAGAGAAAGCATGAGAAGTCAAAGCTAGGATACCTGAAATCCAACACCATGCTGCTGGTTTACATTGGAACTGCTTTTTCAGCTGTATGTTTGAATGCTACTTGCACCTTACTTATAGATACTTCTCCCCTGTGCTGTTTCACAGATATTATTCTTCTCTATTTATCCATTTGAAAAACTTATTTACTGCTACAAGTTACCAAGGATGTATTCTTAAGTGCTTAGAACTTAAGCACGTGAGAAAGAAAAAAAGTAATTTATTTCATGCAATGTCTAAATGTAGGGTCAATACATTTGAAGCAATCAATCAAGTACAAGAGCACTGACAAGCACAAGGCCTACACTGATAAATCTCCATAAGGTTGAGGTTTACACCAAGGAATTTGGCATCAAATATAAGAATTTCTCCAAGACTAGCAGCCTGAACATTTTTTCTCTGCTTAACACAGTTGCCTGCAGACTGGGAAAGCCCAATGCATACCTCTAAAAACAGTGTATTCTGGATAATAACACTTCATAAAAAAGGATTTTCTGTCTAGTCAGTCATAATTGCTCACCAAGTTATTATTAGAACAAGGTATCACTCCACAGAGCCGTCTCTGCACAAGAAATGCAAAATATTCATAAAATATACAGACAGGCTTCTGAGTTTTGTGCCTTAACACAGACGATGCTGAAGAGCTGTTCCACATAAAGCAGCCTTCAGAAACCTTAAGAGAGGGGGCAATCCGTTACCTCTTTTTTCATACTTCTCCCTGTACCTTCCATGGCATCACTTTCTCCCCCACACACCACGTCCTACTGCGATTACAAACCGCTACTTACGACGTATAACTGCCGCCATATTATGGACCACTCCCGCAGCGTTGTGGTGACCTCCTGAATCAGGGGCAGCTCGTTGGGAATAACGGTTTCATGTTGCCTTAAACGAAAAAAAGGCTGAGTTAAGTAATAGTTTTGGTAGGACAGCAGAGCTGTTTCTAAAAGGAACTGGTGGTCATTTCCAAAACCAGCCCAACGACGACAGGCTTCAGAAGAACACCACTGATTGCATGTTTAGAAGTGAACCAAGAATATATCATCCCAAAGAGGGGAAGCAGAGCACGCCATTACTACCACATGACGTGAAGGATAGCTAGCAGAGACTTGAGGCTGTGCTATCGGGCTCATGCTTCTTTCCCTGCTTGTGTGTACACTCACAGTACACCAATACATACCTCATGGTATCAGTTGTTATTGAGAGGCTGATGTTACAAGGAGCAACCAAGATGAAAGCCAGATATGCAGCACACGCAATAGCATGACACTAATGTCTAATTGTTTTCCAAATTATTGGTCTTACGAAGAAAATGGGGCATGCAGGTCATTACCAATACGTTTCTGTCTGGTTTTAAAACTGTGCCATCCAAGTACAAAACAGCAGCCAGGCCTTTTAATATTTCTAAAGTAGTGTACTTAAAAGTAGTTTTCTAATCAGCAAGAAAGTTGTCATTATGCAGCAATCATATGATTAGTGCTTTTATCATTTACATATTTAATAGTGTATAAAAATAAATCGGGCACAAAGGAATAAAATAGCTTAATCCTGTTACACTCCGTTTCATACCTAGCTAATCATTTATTAATTTTGAGTTTTTCTGATTCCTGGTATTTTTCCCAGCTTTTTAAGGAATTTTTTATACCAATGTTATGAATTTTAACACGCACAGCCAGGAATACTGGTCTGATATGTAAGGATCTGAGCTTAAATAGCAACTAAAGGAAAACCAGCCCCAACTATTTACAGCCACATCAGACAAGGGAAACAGGAGCATCACAAAACAAACCATCTCTCACTGCACAGCAGTGCTGCAGGAAGGCAGGAAACTTCTCAAGGAGATTGGAAATGATGTCTGGACAACGGCTTCAGTGAGGGGTCCAGTTTACAAGACTTACTGCAGGGGCAAATTCAGTGCCTGAAACTTCATCTGTCTAAAGAGGAAGGTATCACATATCAAAAGCCTCTTTTAGTAGATCAGACAGAAGCGGTAGGATTTGAAGGTCAAAAGATAAACAAAGTGTGATAACTGAAATCAGGAATTAAAACAGAGGTGGACTGGAAGAAGTTCATCTAAGTAGAAGTTCATCTACGTGTCAAGGGAGCCATAAAAGCTACAAAGAAAATGAATCAATTATCAATTGATTTCAGCTTTCGCATCCATGCAGAGCAGCTCAACTTTGTGAAGATGCAGTCAGGGATGGCAGCACTGGCAGCAGCCCCTCTGCTGCTGCACAAACACACACTGCTGGCATGAGCTCCTTAACAAGCAGAAAACAAGTGCAAGGTATCTGATAACACACTGAAATTACATCTACGCAAATAGAAAAACGGATTTTTTGTGATCTTTTCAAATGAAACTCACCCTTTTCCTTCGACTATTGCTTCCTTAAGGTGAATATAGGAGGCAGGAAATATGCCCTTTGAGAGGGAGGGAGAGGAAGAAAAATTAATGTTGCACATAATACATTTATCACCTAACAACCCACCAAGATACACCGCCAGTTCCTCATGGAGCCACTACACCCTTTTAAGTATCAGAATATTTTATTTTAAACATCCATTTAAATGTTTTAACACATGACCATCTGATGAAGTGTTACTGCAACCTTAGCAAATAGATACTCAGCGTTTTGGAGCACCCAGATCTTACGAGATGGACATACTACACAACAGAGAAAGCATGGCTGAAGGATTCTACCACTGAATTCACCTACATCACACGATGGAGACTAAGGGGTGCTGCTACATTTAGTGAGCATGGTGGTGATGGGCTGATGGTTGGACTGTGCACAGTGGGCTCAAGTGCATGACATACATTTAACTGCATGCACATGCAGAACACAACCATCCCATATCACAACCATAGCTGACATACAGTACTGTCTCTTATCAATGTATTGCTATTACGACAAGCCAAAAAACTCCACAGCAGACAGTACTGCAAAAGAAGCGGTGCTTCTTTTAAAAAAAAGTTCTAAATTACTCTCAAGATTCTAAAAGTAATAATTGGAAAATAACATAAAATCATATTTAAAAATATAATTCAAGACAAGCTGAAGAAATAACTTCCCACCAACTTGTTCATAGTGCAAGCAGTTCCATTTTCTGTTTGGGAATGCAAAACAATTCTTAGAAAACTGAGTAATTCCTTCCTCAATCTGTGCTTTGTTCCCTACATCCCTCTCAGCAGAGCATAGCAGAAGTCTCTCAAACAAGACTCAACTGCAGTGCTCATTTTATGTCATAAAGTTATGTCTACTTCAAAGCAACTTAAAGCAAAACTGTTTCTTGCAAAGACGGATGAAAAACAATCTCTGTAGAAGTCACTGAAGTGCCTGAGCTCTGAGCTGCACGCCCTGTTTGAATACATGGGGAGAGAGGTCAGGGAGGGAGCAAGCAAAAAGCAAAAGAAACCAGCAAGCACCACCAAAACCCACCCACCCAGCAAGGGGGGCAGAACAGCTTCAGGGAGAAAGAAGGTGGCACAGGTCATGCAGGTCACCAGAGGAGGAACACAGTGATGACCAGAAGGTCTGGCATGCAAGCAAGACACACCAATTACAGCAATACCAGCAATGATACCTGCTGCCCAGATGGGAAAGAGCACACTCATCCTTCTTAATATCTACGGGCAAGCATGTCTTCCACTGCCTTTAAAAAGAACTCTACCAAAGCTTCACATTTTAAGGGTTTCAATTCTACAATACCATAGAATAAGTTTTCTTTCAGAAGTTACTACGTTTAGCTGCAGTTGGACAAACACACCAACACCTGGAATCAATTTAAGCCAAGAGGAATGCATCCATTCTGCTCAGGCTGAATGGGGCATGCTCACTAAATATGATTTGTAAGAAATTTAGCACATCTCTGAAAAAAGAAAGCACTAAAATAGAGTAGAAATAAACACAGACCAGGCTTGGTTAGGAAATGGGTGGGATGAACCACAGAGCTAACTCAGTACTTTCAGAGATTCAGAAACAACAGCTCTGCATGCAAACATGCAAATTTTAAGTGTTTTAATTTAAAACTTAAAAAAAAAAAAAAAAACACAGATAAAAGTTGTGTAATTCTGGTTAATGACTGCTATAAAGTTAAGCCAAAAAATAAAAATAAAATGCAACATTACGAGCAGCATTTGTGCTGTTTCCTTACTTTTTATTTCAGAAAAGCTGCTATAAACAGCAGCACTTCATGCACGCTTCAAGCTGAACAACCAGGCTAAATTGCACTGCAGGAGATTACTGCCCCCCTCATGGAGAATGACTGAAAAATCACAATGTAGATCTCATCGCTTTCCAAGACGCAATTGCACTGTACAGGTAATGTGTTATTTAACAGACAGCAAACTGTCAGCCTGCAAGCAGATCAGCTGAGATGTGAAGCTCTTAACTTTCACAGAGGTGAAGGCTCTGGCACACATGTTATTGCAGAGCACAAGCTAATGCACATCAAGCTATCTGAAGTAACTTCGTATGCATACACTTAAATTCAGGAAAAAAAAAATAGATACACAAGTAAGTTTCTGGATCTCATTACAGTAAGTTCCAGTTAATTTGAAATATTCCCATTTAGTCCAGTAGCCCAGTTCCCAGAGATCACTGCCACGCAGCAACATGACACGGAAAGATCTGTGTTCAGAGCAGATCCCCAAAGGCACCATGCCATGTCACGCAGAAAAGCAAGCAGCACTCACCTTCTTGGATTTCTTCCTCAGTGTGTAACCTCTGTACCAACCTAGGGGGAAAAAGAGGAGACAGCATTAAAACCTTACACCTCCCAGCAGTTGCTCCTTCCCAGCTCAGCAGCCCCTGCCTCGTTTGCACCAACACACAGTGAGCATCCTGGCTAAAAGAAAGCCCAAAAGCTATAAAGTTGAGGAGGATGGGAAAACTGAAGGGGAATTCTATGTGGCAGAGATGGTATTCCACACAATGCATTCAACTGAGATTCATTTCATTTTAATTCATGATTCACCAACGTGAACAAAACCAACTTAGAAGCATTAACCTTCTGGTACCTACTGTTCGTTTGATTTTAAAACCTGTTTACGTTGAACAAATTCAAGTTTTCAATTGAAGATCAGCCATTTGTCACCTCTTCAGAAGACAAGAATGTTTCAGGATTTACAGTTCACAAAACAAAACAGAAAAGCGGGCAGAGGTCCTGCGGAAGTTTGCAAAAACTAAAAACACAAACATGAATCAAGATGTCTGGTAGACAGCATCTGCTCTTACAGCAAAATTCCTTATCTGCACTCCAGGATAAGGAATACAAACTGAAGTCTCAAGCACGGAGGATTTTTCAGCCTGTTCACCATCTGCCACCGGAGAGATTCATTATCTTCTCACTGCCCCAGACCATTGTCCTCTGTGCCCATGTGGGGACAAGGCCCAAACTGATGAGCTCCATTGCCCTGCCACAGCCACCACCATGTGTCCCTCAGCCACACAGCTCTACCTCTGCCACCTCTTTTCCCAACCCATCCTGCTGCCTGAACCAGGACACGGCTGAGATGGAGAAGCCATCTCTAACTAAGCCAAAATATAATGTCTCTTCAAGTTGTCAATTCCCCTTTCATAGCAGAAGCACGGATGCAGGAAGCTGCCTCCCCATCTCCTGCACCAAATACAGCAAGGGCAGGGCAGGCAGTGACACATGGGTGCAAAGGCATCACGAAGCTGTTCTCACCTATGCAGTGGCCCTGCCTCATTTTACTCCCAGCATTTCTAACCTCTGCCACTTTGGAGGTCTAAAACAAGTGAAAAAAAGAAAACCTGATGGAAAAGAGAACAAATATCTGATGTCAAACATTGACCTGCAGAATCCAGCAAACAATTTCAGATCCTCCTTGGTCTGTTTACAGCAAATTCGGCTTCACACAAAACATCAGTGAGAGGAAAACAGGCTGATGTCATAAATGTTTTCTAAATTGCTGTGGGCATTTAAGTGGTTTAGCTGCACATGACAGGGTTTTGAGCCTCTCCCTGTAAAATACTATGGGATACAGTGGCTGGAAGTACCCATCCAAGTAAATGTCCAACAAAGAAAAGGGAGGCACCTGCAAAGGGCACAGGAAACCCTTGGCCAGCACTGTTCTTGATACTTGCTATGCATTTACCCAGGATAGGTATTAATTACATTTAAAAAAGAAAATAAGATATATAAATAAAGAACAATAAACAATAACTAAATACTATTTTAAACTGCCTATTTTGGAACCTAAACTACACCTTTCTATAGCAGCTCTAGAAAATGAGCAGCTGCTCAAATATAAACATTTTGCTTCAAAGCTTATTTACTGCTATAGCTCACAGCATTTCTCCTTAATAAATAAATCTTACTTATTGATCACGTCTCCATTTTGACTTCTACCCAATTATATAAAGAAACAGAAGACAGACAACAAAAATGAGGCATGTGCTAGTTCAGAATGCAGCAAATATCTGTTTAGGGATATTACTTGAAAAAGCAACCCTTCCTTCCTGACACATGAATGCTATTTATCAAGGCACACGGCCCTGCTATCATCCAGCTTTTCCTGCAAGGTTCACATTAAGAAGCGCACCAGGAAATTTTCAAATGGAAAAATGAAATTTTCTGCAATTCAACCTGAAATAATAACAGTAATTTGACTTTAATGATCCATTATTCTCTCAACTGTTGTTAGAAAGGAGCTTCATCTTTCCTTTGGGTCCTTGAAGAGCAGAAACATTCCAGTTTAACAGTGGAAAACACACACATCACCAATCCCATCACCTCGATACAAACAGCAGCTGCTTGCAACAAGCCTCAAACTTCACCGAAACTGCAAGTGAAAATACCTGTAAAATCGGTTCAGCACTTCAGAGAGCAAGTACACTGTTCTGACTAAATTTTAAAAGATGAGAATGTTTCAGTACTAAAATTAAATTCTGAAGTTCTCTTTTTTTGTGTTTTTTTTTTTTTTAAAAAACCTGCAAGTACCATTTGAAGCACATATAAGCAGAGTCCACAGTAGCAATCCAATCCAGTACAAAATCCAACATTAGCCCGGCTGGTCTTACAGCAAAAACCTGCTATAAGCTCTTCTTCATGACAAAGGGGATTTAGAGAAGGCAGCAGTTACAACCCCACTGCTTGCCAAACCCTACCAAGCCACTGCTTCCAAGACAGCCCCCCATCCAGCAGCCCTCCAGGCAGGTGTGTGAGCGCAGCTGGACATGGGGCACCTGCAGACACCAAGGCAGCTCTCCTGAGGCAATCCTCCCAAAGGCCCTGGGAAGGAACTGGAAGATCAAAGAGCTCAAATAATTACCCAGTAATGGCAGCTCTGTGAAGAAGAGAGGTAAGAACTACAGCAGCTCATTTCTCATCACAGCAGGGAAGTAATGAGTAACTATTGTACAAAATGCTTGGCAGAACATTAATTTATTTGCACTTCTTTTAATGTAAACTCATCCCAGTCACACAAAGATGTCAAAAGCCCAAAACCATGAGCTGAGAGCACAAAGGTCTTTCTGTTATTTGAGTCGAAGAGGAAAAGCAAGTCATCTCCACCATCCCATTAAATTACCAGCAGTCACAATTTGACACGGTTTCATGCTCCCTATGCAGGACTCAGTGTTTCTCCCACATTCATTAAGTAAATCAATTTAGATACACAAAAATACTAATCTGCTTAATATTTAAATCTTTCTACTTTTAATAACAACTAATGCAAAAAAAAAAAAAAAAAAAAAAATCATATAACTTCATATAACAGAAAAATTACTTTGCATAGTCAAACCTGAGATTCCAGTGGCAACCTGAATCTTACAGGAAAATGCCAACCCAGAAACAAAGAGAAAATTAACTTGCATGTAGTGATGAATCAAGCTTGTTACATCTGTTGAAATAACACTGTTTGAGTAGATGTAACTATAAAAAAAAAAAAAAAACTGATTAAATCAATATCTAAAACTAATTTAGCACTCGGACCAAAAGATCAAGGTCTAGAAACAAAGGCATTCAAAACAGCAAACAAAAGGCATTTGCAAAGTTTAGTTATATCACAGAATCACCAAGGTTGGAAAAGACCTTGAAGACCATCCAGTCCAACCATCCACCTATCACCATTTGCTCTCACTAAACCACATCCCTCAACACAAAATCCAAATGTCCCTGAACACCTGCAGGGTCGGTGACCCCACCACCTCCCTGAGCAGCCCATTCCAGAGCCTGCCTTCTCTTTCAGAAAAGTAGTGTTTATATGTCGCTTATATCTCTCCAGTCTGCAGCAGGCTACGCAATTTACAGCCTAGGATGTAATGAAAGAGATGGATTTTATTTGGCTTGCTACTGGATCAAGGAAGAGCAGAAAAGTGTTCTGACAACTTTCACATTCTGTTGACTATCAAACACAGCATCCCGATCCCCTTTTTCACACATCAAGGAGGAAGGATTTTGCTATGCCTAGTGCTTGTACCGTTCCATATCAAAACAAGCAAAGCATCTGAAAGCCTGAAATCGGTCATAGCACTGTAGCACATGTATCCAATCTCACAAGAGACATAAATAATTTAGGACCCCGGTGACTTTCAAATTCAGATTAAACTTCTTTTAGCAGCAGATGCCTTCGCATTACCCAAGGGTATCCAAAAACATCTATCATTTCTCTAAACGTAGGACAGATGCTGCAATCGATCCATACAAATAAAGCTGTGAGAACATCCATCTTTCATAGGAAAGGAGATGGTTATTCACCAGGTATCGACCACACGCTTCTTCGTTCACATCTAGCACTGGTTAATTCTGTGCTCATTAAAAACAAAGTGTTTTGTCCCTTTGCAAGAAAGCAAGTAATTCATCACCTGATAATACGGGATGATGAAGTCACAAACAGAAAAGCAGTTGTAAAAACAATGTTTGGACAATGCACGTTTTGCAAGCTTACCTTCATATGTTTCTAATATGTGCACAGTGTCTCCTATCTGTAAGGAAAGTTCATCTGGTCCCCTCGCGTCGTAATTGTAAAGAGCTAGACAGAGAAAACAAGGCAGTTAGCACATGCAAGGCAACACAGCTTTCAAGATTGTTACTTCTCCACACAACTGATATTACTATTCATTATTGCTACGTTCAGTCTCCTTGTGCAGCTTCTGGGTACGTTTGGTCAAGTTCCTCAATCCAACAGCATGTTCCCTTAGAGCAGATCTCAAAAGGCACACGCACACTGTTCAAAGTTAGCCTCTGAACCTACTTACAATGCTTTGCTTCTTCATAACAATACATTCAATTAATTTTTTTGAACCTGTCTGTTTTCCAGTACTTTGTGTCAGTGTGTTGCAGGAAGCCTCACATGCTGATCTGCCCTAAAGCAGCACTAAACGATCACCTTCAGCCTACACTAAAGCCAAGTGAATGCAGCAAATGCTGGAAGGAAGCTTTGGAAACTGCTCATGCCTCACAGCCATTGACCTGCAGGCTGCTGACACCTCGCAGAGTTCAATTCTGGACGGGAGAAACTCTGAGAAGAAGAAAAACTGTTGTGTTGTAGAGAAAGAAAGAAAGTCAGACTGAATAGTCAGGTATATATGCCAGCAAATAACTCAAGTAGAAAAGATGCATCACCCTACTCGCCAGTGACCTGACATTACAAACACTAACTTCAACTTTCAAGCCCGCCCCCCCCCCCCCCCAATTATTTACAGTTTGCTTTCTATGAAATGATAGAAAAGGAAGTTTTTTAGAATTGTCATCTGCAGAAGAACATCTGCAAAGTAAAGGAAAGGCCACTTCTCCCCACACTTCACAAAAGCAGCGCTAAAATCAGGAATGGCTCGAAGAACACTGGGCCTTCATCTGACAAATATGCTGCAAAATAGGTTTGATTAAGAAAAACGTATTCCAAAAATTTCTAGAAAACAGTTACAGCTTACAGCCTCTAAAACTATGCTTTGGTTTTGTTGGTTTTGATGTTCCCCATGGAAGAAATCCCTCTGAAAGAGACAAAGCCTTCTGATACCTGGTAGGATCTGCACAACCAAAGGCTACAAGCCCAGCATTTCATGAGACTGACGTTAATGAACTATAATGAAAGCAGACCAATGAGAGGTTCATTCATAGCCCACTTCGAGATGCTACGGATTTCTTAGCCTTGTATTTCCAGCACACAAAAGGCTGAGCTCCTCTGAACAGAGATCTCTTCTTTACAGTGGGAGCTTTCAGAGCACAGAGATTCGTTATTTGTCATAATGATCAGATTCCAATAATGCTTTTTTACCTCCATCGAAGTTATCTCTACATTTTCAGCCATCCCTTGTATAACCTGTTATTTCTGCCTTCCCACCATTTCCCAGGCATACAAGCTGTGCAGCACTGCCCACAAAGGCTCCAGCTGCTCTCTGCCATTACCACTATCAGAATAGAAAGATGCAGATGCATCTCTGGTGTAACTGAGATCAGCCCAGCCCCTCTCGCACGAGACCTTCACAGAGAGTTAAACCAAAACAGCTCACAGGACAACAACTCCAGGTAACATTCTCATTGCAGGTCACAAAGCACCTCCACAAAACCCTCAAAGCAAAACCTATAGCAGAAAGCACAAACCCACCCTTACACAACAGCGAGGTCTCAGACAGGCACCACCTCTGCTCCCCCCAGGCCATTTATTCCAGGTTCCAGGTGAGCCCAGCAGAGCAGCCCTGCAGCAGGGAGGTCAGCAACAGAAGAGCAGCATTCAAAACGTGGTCAGAAGGTACCGAACCCCACCATACAACGTTCCTGACATCGAACACGTGAGGAGGGTCCTTGGTTCTTTCCTGGGTGGTATACAGAATGAAAGAGGTACAAAAAAAAGCAATAGAAATAGGAAGGACAAAACATATGCAGCATAGGATCCTGCATAGTTTAGGAAAGGACACTTGAAGGTAAAAGCGTATAAAGAGCAAGCGGATTGCAGAAGCTAATAATCACCAGGATGTAATGGGGGCTTTAGAAAGCGATACAGTTTTATTGACATCAAAACAAGCCAAGCTAGCTATCCCTGTTTTAATGTTTTTGTTAACTTTCCCATTATTAAAACGAGATAAAATCCTTGGCTGCCAGGTATCTGGAACACAGTATTTCAAAGCCATAATTGCTATTCTACAGGAGGAGAGCGTTCAGTGAAAAACATTAACAAAAATTAACATTTTGAACTGTTCTGAGCAGAGGAATGTTAACAACCATGAATACATGGCACGCTTCCTAAACAGCAGCACAAGGGACAGTCTGTTTGATAACACTCAGCAGGAATTTTTTTCTGTCGGGTTTTTGGGAGTACCAGAAAGATGAAATTAATCAGACAGCATGAACTCTTCTGAGTTTGGATGCTTAAATCCAAACTTCTGGCCTTTACTTACGTTTCTTGAATGTCACAGCTGTCACCAGACTCAAGAGAACCTGAGGGGGCTCAAAGTGCAGAATGAGCCCATCTGAATCCTTCGTCTCGGAGACCCTAATGAGCAATCTCACCATGCAGCACCAAACACCCAAACCAGTAGAAGTTCACATTATGACAGACTAAAAACAGTTCTGCAGCAAGCTCGCACTTCAGCGAACCATTTCTCCAGCACTTAAACTGAATAACACTAAGGATCAAAGGCAACCGTGAATAAAAGACATTAAAATTTATATCCGAGTGCTAACTGGTGTCTGTCACAATGAGGAGGGTCATGTAACATGAACTTCACTGTAATGACCAATTCTCGACTGAAGATGACAAGCAGCCATTGAGCAGTAATTACTACCCATGACAGCTCCCACTGACCCCAGCTGAGCAACGAGTGGTGGCCAAAGAAGGAAGGCTTATTTCAAAATAATAAAATTTGGCTTGCAGCAGCATTCATAGATGATGAAACAAACAACCGGAATAACTATAAAGCACATTCCACCCCTGTGATTGCAAAACGAGGTTTGAGCTACTGCATACTCCTATGAAAGCCAGAAGATAACCCCCAGCATGGGGGATTCTTTATGCAGTGACATCAAAAGTTGTTACGACAGATCAAATGTCAGATTGGAGCTAACAACAACACTTTAACTAAAGGAAAAGAAAAAACAGAGGAATAAAGCACAAAACTGGTACATGTACGTCTTGTCTGGTCAACAACATACAGAGGCACAACTGAATTATGGATCAAGGCCCAGTATTTTCAAAAAGGAATTATGTAGCCAATAAATCAGCTTAAAAATATATTATGTATATCTTTGCTACAACTCACAGGCTAGGAGTATGGATACTTTAGTACCTAAAGATGCATAGCTAAGACCCAGCGCAAGCAAGTTAATCTCATGGTTAACACAGACTAATTCAGTGCTCCAGTGTTCTTTCAGATTGGGCATGGCACAATCAAAGAGGCACAGTCAAGCATTTTTCCTATTGCAAACTATAAACTATTCCTATAAACACTTCCCCTCCTTATAACAATACTATTCACAATGCAATCTCTGCACACTAGAGAAACGTTACGAAGTGATGGCCAAAAGATACCACAAGTCATGAGCTCAAGAAGGATGCTGCTTTCTGGCTCAACCAGCACGCTGCCCATCCACAGAAACACCACCAATGTCTGCTCAAGCACTTCTGCCACTTCCCCCAGTCTGGAGAATGCTCTGCAGAAGAGATGAAGTATCAGGTTCCTCATGCCCAGCACACGGGAATCAGCTTTAGGTGAGCAAAGGAATACTCTATAAAGGGGACCTCCTTCCAGAGGGCAGCTCTCCCTGAAAAAGACCTTTCAAAAGATGAAGGGAGAAAGCTTCAGTGCTCCAGGAAGAGCCGTGTTCTTTGCAGTCATCTGTATCTGACCACCGTTTCCTAATTACATTTATAAGGTTACTGTGTAGAAGAGAACAACGTTTTCTCAAAATTACAGAGAAAGAACTGACAAGCTTTCTTTCCCAGTTCCAGGCGTCATTAGCTATGATTTCACCTAGAGTTAAAGGAGTCTACCGTATTTGCAAGATCATATCTATGGACCACACTCCCTCAACCACCCTGTGATGGGCACTGCTGTACTGACTTACAAACAGACTGTTTCAGCTGCAGCCTTACACCTACCCTGCTTATAAAAGCCAAAGCAACCCACACCTCACCATGACAGGAAAGCAGGGGTTTCAGAGCGCTTGCTGACAATGAGTAAGGAACAGCTGATCAAAAGGAGCAGTGGATGGATTCAGTTACCAGGCTGACGTGAATACAGAGCAGTATTCAGCAGATCAGTTATCTGTGTCAGCCTGTTTGGAGTTCCAGCTCTGGGATTCAATGACCAGAACCAAAGCGGCAGGAAAAGCACAAGCAAAAAGAATGTGAAGTCACAAGTGACAGAAAGCATCCTGAAGCACCTCTCCTTTGCACACTGCTGTTCTCTGCTTAGGACAGCTATGTTTCTGCACCAGAGATATTTGTGCTCATCAGCTGAGTTCCCAGCCACGATGACCAAGCAGCTGGTAGCAATCACTGCTCTCACCCAGCCTCCCCCTTTCAAGGCAGGAAAGAAGCAGATCTACACAAAAGTACTGAAATGTCAAAAGCAAAGGGATTAGTGTGGGCACAGAAAGCACAAATTTTTAACTCCAGGAGTTGATAAAGAAAGGAACAATGAATAGGGCATTACAGTAATTGCACTAAACCCCATTTATTACTGAAGAATATAAAACAAACACCTCTACAGGACTGCATTCATCAACCTGTGCGCATTAGAGAAATGAAGAGTGCAAGACCAGAAGAATGAAAGAGAGGTGAAAGAGGAAAAGCAGTAAAAAGCAAACAAAGGTAACATCAGCATATACTGAAAAAGCTTTTCTCTGTATGAAAGCTGAGGTTGCTTAAGATACCATAAAAAAGTCACCACGTAATATTCCCTACAATATTTTTGCATTAAAGCCTGCATTAAACTCTACGCTCTGGAAAGAAAAAAACACACATTTAACATATTATCAAGCTTTATTCGATCGTATCTTTAAAAAAAAAATCCCACACACATTAATAATGCT